ACAGAGGGAGATGCCAGAAGCTTTCTGGGAGCCACGCGGAGCCGGGCAGGCACCCTACCTGGCTCTGCTGCGGGTGGCCAAATGAACTTTTAATGGCCTGGTCAGCAGTGGAGCTGCCATGGTCCCTTTTCAACAGGCCTTCCGGTCAAAAAACAGATGCCTGACAACCCTACTCGTACTTTCTCCAAACTCTTCCCTCCTGCAACCTGTGCTCTTCCTTGCAAGTTCTATGCAGTTTGCTACCCCCACTAAATCTACTTTGTGACATTCCAGTAACACAAAGCACACTTAACATAAAGCACAGCAACATAAAGCTGGTTACAATTCAGCCTGCTAAGGATTCCCCTTTTCATGCTGCTTTAAAGCCTGTGTAGCCACCTCCCTTTGTAGAACAATTTTATTAAGGAAAACCAAACGTGTTTTGCATTTCTTCGGTACACAATACCTGAATGTTTTTTCAATTTATAGTTCATTAACAAGAAATTCAGGCAAACACGTCTCCAATTTCTTTTGTTCTTTGTTCCATTTTTACTTAGTAAAGAACCTCTGTATTTATTTGATTAGAAATCATGGGGGCTTCTTGCCTATATACAGCCATTTTACAAGGTGGGCTGTAGTTGTAACTACAGTGAGCAATGATTTATCTACATTTATTTAATTTTGCTTCTGCTAAGTGATACAAGTAAATGGATTGTTCAATAAGTAAAACTAAAGTCTTCACATTTAGAAAAAGTGCTTAACAAATTTAGAAAGAAAACTCCTGGTGGAATCAGGGCTGGATTAAGGTTATGAGGGGCGTAAGGCTAATGGGAGTGAAGGGCCTAAGTATGAATTACATATTGCAAAAAAAAATATGAAGTCATCAAACATTTATCTACATACATATTTACATATTATTTATTTATGTAAAATTAACAAGTTTATTCTACTCTCACTACATTCAATTCTTCAAACAGATACTTCTGAGTAAGAGGTAGGATGAGGGATGCTACACTGTCCTTCTCTTAGGCCTCCTTCCTCATAGGCAGTTGAGTGCTCATCTGTATGAGGATGCACACTGCAACATTCCCCATCCTGCTCACCTCTTTCAACCTTGTGCTTCTACCCTCAGCTTTCCACAAGGCACAGTGCAAAGCCAAGCCCTGCAGGTGTTTCTCCCAAGCTCTGGACTCTACACCACATCCCTATCTCATTCTGACTGCAGTCTCGGAGGCAGCCAGCTTTTATTATGTACAAGAAAACCACGCAGGTGTAAAATCCACTGAAGTAGAGGAAGTAGTAGTGGGAAAATTACATTGGGTGGCATTGTATTTTAGGCTGTCTTGCTCTGAAAGTGCCTCCCAGTGTTGCACTGACTGAGGACAATGAATTACTGTTTTGACATTGAACCCAAATATTATTTGTGGGATGATACCCAGTTTGTGTAGTTAATCTCCAGTGATTCACCCCGTCAGGCCATTCTGTCACCAAGCTCTTCCACAATTAGAATCATAGAACAGAATCATAGGACTGTAAGGGACCTTGAGAGGTCATCTAGTCTGGTCCCCTGCAATCATGGCAGGACTAAGTATTATCTATTCTAGAATGTGTGATCAGCAGCTCTGACATGAGGTTTTTTAAGCATGAGTTCCGTGTGCACCAGCCCCTTACTGTTTGCATTTGTTTGTTTTAAGCTTTCTGAAAGAAAAAGGTAACAGCTAGAAGGGACACAGATCTTTAGATGGTTGCCCAGTCATAATATTTAGCACTACTGTACTATGTTAGCTCTTCAAAATCACTGTAAAAACATTAAACAAACTTAATCTAAAGCCTTTCAGATTTTGAATGACTAGGAGTTGACAAAACAGAGCTATTCCTTGTTGTGTTCTCTGCCCCCCTGAACAAAAGACTTCAATGAACATCAGCATCTTAAAAGAACCATTAAGGATCTTTCAAAAGAACAGTCCAACCAAGGCTGCTGTAGTGACACCCTTGTTACATCAGGTCTGGTTTTTGTTTAAGGCTGGTGTTCCTGTTTCATTTGCATGTGTAAATCAAGCAGACCTTGCTTATTTTTTCCTTAAACTGCTCAGAGTTTAGGGGAGGAAAGTGAATGAGATTCTGCTTATACCAGATGTGAAAAAGCAGAAGGCACCAAAATCTATTCTTGTGCAAAAATCGGTTCTCCCTGAAGTCAATAAGGCTACACAGGTGTAACTGTCAGCAAGAATTGGCCTGTGTTCTCATTCCCTCCTCAAATCACAGTCCGTGCTTATCCAACATTTTCCACTCGGGAAAGAAGTTAGTTTGAGTTGGGGCAGAAAAATGAGGACTAACTTCAGCTTTATTTAACTTTAAGTTTTTGGAATGAAACTCAAAAGAAATCAAATGTGAGGTACTTGTATGAAGGTTTGAACTGCTAGAGTACCAGTAAATGGACAGAACCTGCCTTTAGCCTATTCAGCCAGTCTTTCTATCATAGCCTGCTAACAAGTGGATTTAAAATCCTTGAGGGAGAGGGAAGGGAGAAACCTTCAACATTGTGTGTTGAGCTTCCTCCAGTACTTTTGCAACCCCTTAAAAGTACAAAGATGCGTTGTGGAACTAAGCTGAGCATAAGGAAAGAACTTGGTTGCCTGTGCATCCCAGTACTAAAAAATACATCAAAGAAAAAAATTGGATTTTTTTTTATTTTTAGTACAGTTCAATACCGTATTGAACACAGTGCATCATAAATCTGAAGCCCCTCAATGGAAGGTACTGTAAAAGTTAGAGTACTGGTATCCAGAATGGGATGTTTTGTTTTGTTTTTCCTACAGATGTGTGGGAATTCGTTCCTTATACATGGGAGGGGCAATAGTTCTGGTTGGAGCTGGATAGAGTGGGTGCAGGTTCTGTGCAAGCTTCTCACCCTACCTCTCTGGTACTGCCTCTTACTCCCGCCGGCCCCTTGCCCTGCTCCCCTCTCTCCCCCCTCCCCTCCCAGGCACTCACCAGTTGTCCAGAAACGGGACCCAGCACACATAGAAGATGATGGAGATGGGCACTAGGACCCAGGAGGCAGCATCCTGGAGATGCCTGCAGCCCTCAGTGGAGGAGAGGGACAGAGGGAGCCTCTTCTCTCCCTGACAGCTAAGCAGAGCTCCGGAGAAATTGGGGGTGGGAGGAGCAGAGGGGGGAACAATGCCTGCTTAAACTACACCCACGCCTGGCATCAGTTCCCATGGTAACTGGATTTTTAGTGTCCAGTCACCAGTGTTAACCGAATACCCGTCAGTGTGTTCCTGCAGTGCAGTGATGGCTGCTGGCTGAGCTACTTCCTAGCCACAGCCCACAGGGGGCTGTTTTGCCTTTCAAGCTGGCAGAAGGGTGCTCCAGCAGGGCTACATGAGCAAGGTTGCTCTCCCCCTCCTCCCTCACCCAGCCCCCTGACCGCCAGAACCAGCTTTAGGAAGTGCGGGGCCCGATTCAAATACCCGGCGGCAGTCCGGGTCTTCGGCGGCGGGTCCTTCACTTGCTCCGGGTCTTCCGCGGCACCGAAGGACCCGCCGCTGAAATGCTGCCAAAGACCCGGAGCGAGTGAAGGACCCGCCGCCGAAGTGCCGCCAAAGACCCGGACCGCCGCAGGGTGAGTAAAAATTAAAAAGACAACTAATTTAGGCGCTCTTCTTTAGGGCGCGGGGCCCTCTTAGGCGTGGGCGCGGGGCCCTCTTAGGCATGGGGCCCAATTCGGGAGAATCAGGGGAATTGGCCTAAGGCCGGCACTGCTGACCACGCCCCCGCCTGACCAGTAGGGCCTAAAAAATAGGAGGGCCTAAGACTATAGCCTTATTAGCCTAATGGTTAATCTGGCCCTGGGTGGAATATATTTTCACATCTGCAATTCGAAGTTTGGATTGATTTCCATGGGGGACATCAATGGCAAAACTCCCATTGACTGAAATGGGGATAGGATTTCTCCTAAGATTTTCTTGTGGAGAGCCTATCTTTCACCCTATAAAGCTCCCTATCCAATTTGGAGATTAACTCATTCAACATACTTTTAAAAATGAACAGCCAGTAGTTTTAGAAGAAAACTTTTGTACATTATGGCTTAAAGCTCTGCATGTTACTATGCTTAACTGTGGTATAATCAAATCTGCCATATCAATTCATTGTCTATTTTATTTATTTTATTTTAAATTTAGAAGTGCACACTGCTAAGATATAGTTGTCCAGATACTGAGAGACAAATCTCATAATGGACTGTCTCAGCCAGTCAGAGGAATTACTCTTTAGGACTAGTCTTTTTTCTAAAATGTTTTCCACAATTAGTAACACCTAGTCAGTTCCACCAGCTGTAACAATGGTGGGAGCACTAGCTCAGGGCTCTGCCAGCTACCAGCATTTTTACCACTGTCAAGAAGACTTGCTATGACCAGGGTTAGACAGCACAGTGTGCCTAAGAGCTCGGCATATCTCTAGAGTTTTACCTATACTAGCACTCCCACTGCTGTTACTACTGGTACTGCAGATATATTTTACACATGTTTTTTAAATGCTACAATAGATACAGGGTTGGAGGTCAGAGGGCAGGGTGTGGGGAATAAGTCTTTTTCAAGGGACACAGAGGAGCAACATGAGTAGATAGTGACAAGATTGGGGTTATGTGAGGTAGGGCTATGAGAGTGTCCAGTCAGATGCTGAGGGTAAATGGCCGAAGTTCTGAAGACAGTAGCCAATCAGAGCAGAGTGATGTACAGTAGCCTGTCAAGCAAGGACTGATATAACTGCAAGGACATTTCAGTGCAGCAACAACTTGAGGATGTTCCCTGTTAATTTGGGAATAACTATCCTGAACTAGGGAACTTGTGAACAGAAAACACTTTCAAGGTAAAACATTTAAATAGACTGGTAATGAGCGTTCTGACTTTACAGTAGATTCCATTTGAAGTGTGAGGGATATCGTATGTTTCTCCTGTGTACTGCATAATACCCATTGTATAGCTAAACTTCACCATTGCATATCTCTTAACCTCCAGAGTCAAAGCCCCACTAATTATTTGCAAGGATTGGATGGAAGACCCTTAATAGCTGCTCCTGTGTTTACAAAGGTAATTTGTTTTGATTACACATTTCAAAATGAAACAAGTCAACTGATTTTTTTATGCATACATAACTTAAAACTTTGTTTCCTACTGTTGCTATATAGCAAAAAGGAAATCTACAGCATTCTTGTCTATCAGATTTTTTTTTAAAACATGTCGCAAAGTCATAAGACTCAGTTTTACTTCCAGAATCATTAAACAATATATTGATCTTTTTTATATTTTAGATGCTACAGGATATTTCAGCTTCTGAGGGTCAGCTGGTTGTCTTTGAGTGCAGGGTGAAAGGAGCTCCTTCTCCAAAGGTTGAATGGTACAGAGAAGGGACATTAATACAAGATTCTCCAGATTTTAGAATATTACAAAAAAGTATGTTTCCTGCATGGAAATGCTTTGTCTGCTATATTATAGACATTTAAACAAATGCTGACATATTTGCTCTTGGAATGTTTGGTTACAATGCATAGAGCTATATTAAACTATGGTTTATGCTGACAGACATCAGCAGTAGTGTTGCATTGGCTCAAGATACACACAAGTCCCACTTCTCTGGGATCCCTCAAGGAGCCAGTGTTGCCTCAAAGAGTGGGTGGTGCTTCACAGGAGGGTGTAGTGAAGGGGATGTACTCATTCAGAGCATCTCCTCAGTAGGTACTATTTGCAATTTAAAATTGGTGTCCTGTGGCAGAATGCCTGTCATGAACAGCAATGCAAAGACTGTATGCTCTTCCATGGGGTGAAGCTTGCTCTCCTTTACATCAAAGGAAGATAATCAACTTCATTATGTGATAAGTAGAGTCCTTGCTAGTGGGCCCCAATTCTGAAGTTCTGATTTAGAATTTAGTTGTAAGAATTCACATTGTTTTATTGTGGGGTTTACTGAGGAAGGACTGGGAAAGGATTCCAGTCTACCCAATCCTACATATTCAGATTGATTTCCTGAATAATGGACAGAGTAGACACAGCTCCTTGGAGACATCACTGTAACACTCTGTACATAGGCGCTGACTTCGTGGGTGCTCTGGGGCTGGAGCACCCATGAAAAAAACTACTGGGTGCTCAGCACACACCAGCGGACCCTGCAGATCAACTCCTCCCCCTTCCCCCAGAGCATCTCCCACGCATCGCTGATCAGCGGCGGGCAGGAGGCACTGGGGAGGAGCGGAGTCAGGAAGAGGCAGAGCGAGGACAGGACGCGTTTGGGGGAGGGGGCAGAATGGGGAAGGAAGAGGTGGGGCAGGGGTGGAGTGGGGGGCAGAAAGAGGCGGGATGGGGTGGGGCTTTGGGGGAAGGGGTGGAGTGGGGGCAGGGCCTGCAGCGGAGCAGGGGTCAAGCACTCCCAGGGAAATCAGAAAGTCAGTGCCTATGATTCTATATGCTGATTTCACCTAAATATAAAGGGCCAGATTATGGCTTTCCCCATATGACTGCACTTTAGAGTGGGGCCACAAGCAATCACAATTTCAATTTGTTTGTTTTTGTTTCTCTTGAGTTTGCGACCAAATATCCCTTTGTCTTCCTTACTTTACATAGTTTCTTTGAGTTCTGTGTTACTGCTATCTTTTGCTTCCATCTCCCTCTACTCCTTTGCCTGTTTCCTGGTTGTCTGTATTCTTTCTCTATTTGTCTCCTACTCCATTTCTGTACAGTCCCATCAACTGAGAAGTGTTTAATCTTTAATGTTAACCCCTAGTATATTGGTGTTTATGGACTGCTAGCTACCTATTTGCTTGATTAGCTTGATTCACACACAAACTGCACACATTTGTGGTAAATAATCAGTAAAATTTCAGGTCTATGTATACATATGGACTTACAAACACCTATTTTCAAAATGTGGATAATCTCTTTCTGCTGTTTCCAAAGAGTTAATTAGAACATTAGTCTCTGTTGACCAGCCCAGAGCAGTAGGATGCATTTTATGGATTTGCTATTCTCTTGCCTCTAAAAATTCAGTTTTTTTGTTGGCACATGAACAGAAATTTATATTGAAAGGTATGTTACAGTGAATGGAGAACTGAGACATCGCTTCATAGTGGGTCATAGTGAGAAAAATGAAGCATATTCATAAAATTAATGATATATTCAATCCAGTAATTCTTTTGCTATTGTTTTTCCTCTTTAGAACCTCGATCTATGACTGAGCCAGGTAAATATAATCTAATGTTTTATTTCTTTAGGATTATATAAACATGAGGATTTAATAAGATAAAATAAAAAAAATTCTAACAGTGAAAACAAATAAGGTTGGTGGTAATTTTTACTCCTGGCTGCAGATTTTTTCTTGGTGCAAATTTCTGTATTTGAACACAAAAAGCAAATTTCACATAGACTTTTCTTTTATCCATTGTACACAAATATTATTTACTGTACAGTGTTCCATAAAGGTGAAAGTATAGAAGCTCTGAAAAAGAGAAAACCCACTAAAGCAAAGTAACTTCTTTCATTTTAGAAGAAAACAATAAGGCCTCCACACTGTTCTGATCTGACCCAACCTGGGACCCAAGTATTCTTTCTCACAGGCTAAATATGAATGGAATAGTCTGTATTACGGTCCCCTATTTTCTTGGGGTCAAATGTACATCAGATGATGTAGGAATAGACTATTTTTATCCAGTTTGCCAGTCAGGGAGCATTGACTCAGATGTTTAGCCATGTCAGCTATTCCCTCTTACCACCCCTGCTCCCAACAAATGAAATCTGAGAGTGCCACATCAGACGTTCGACCCCTGACATCACAGAATCCTATCAGTGGCTGGTTTTGCCAGTGTCGGGGGCCAGGGCTGAGCATGGGCTATCCTTCACAGTGTAATTTAGAAATACAAAAATAGATGTACAAAAACCCAGAAGATTTGGAATTTGTGATTGCTTCCCCATAAGGAAGTCTCTGCTCTAATGATACGTTAATTATTAAAGAATAAAGGTGTACATTTGAAAACAGAAAATTCCCTGCACCTGAGAAAGTAGCCGTAAATTACTGAATCACTATTTTTAACTGTCATTTTTATAAATAAGAAATTTAACATTTTTTTGCCCTCAGCCCCTTGCAGAGAGGTTTTTTGTTTTGTTTTAAAGTCTCCAACAAATCCCTGTGGATTCCTACATTTTCTCCTGCTCCACAATAGCTTTCACTTCAGCTCAGGAATGACTAGATGGAACTTCCACCAGAATCCGCCAATGCCATCATTTATCAGCTAGTGGTATCACTGCTTAATGTGAAGCAGTTGTTAGCAGGTAATCAGCTGGGTGCAGTTGCCAATGACTCATCATCCACTGCTCATTCAAAAAGAATCTGGAATTCCATATAAGCAGTGGTTGGCAAATTTTAGCATAAGCTAGGTACTATACTACTACAAACTAGCGTTATAATAAACTATTATTCTGTTACCCTCATTGGCAAGTAATTTCTGTACTGCTACTAGTTTCTCCCAATAAGTAAGAAGGGTTAACAAATCAAAATGTGCCGTGGTCACCCTCCCCTCCTCTCCAAGATACTGATAGAAGATAGATCACCCATTCTTCCTGGGAAAGTTCTTACAAAGCAACAGTAAAACCTTCACTGGTCCTTGAAGAAAACTGTGTCAGCCCAGACTTCTATAATCTTGAAATGCTATCCAATCTTGCTGCTTGACTAAATACAAACAATCCCACCATGATGAGTGTTTATCAGCTTGCAGCAGCTGCCAAGACATGTCAGACACTGGTCAGCCAGGAACAGCATAGTCACAGATTGATTTTCAAACCAAATTACCAAATTTGTATTCACACTTTGTTGCCCACAACGAGTCTCCATGGTACAGAAAGAGTGACTTTCTGATGTGGGACTGTGGGCATATTCACTCCATGTGCAAAATTGTGCCTGTAAATTTGAAAGTCAGGCCCTAAGTATAGTTTTTTCACCTCAGGGGATGATCGTACCTAAACTGTTTCCAGCTAACTGCACCCATTTTTCCACCTATCTTGGGGCCTTAAAAGCCTTTTTGATTGCAGTTTGGAAAGATTTGGCCCATTGTATTTGCTTAAATTCAATTTTAAGCTCCTTAGTGAAGGGGAGCTTGTGTTCTGACGTTGTATATAGTCAAAAGGGGCACCTGGCAGTGTCCGGTCAGAAACACTGACCGGACAAAGAAAGTGTGGTTAGGCAATGCATTGTGGGGCGGGGGAGGGGGACATACAGGGTCGAGGGCCCCCCCAGCAGCTGGCCCGGGCGGGGAGTGGAATGGGTGGGACCAGCGCCTCTTCTGGCTACTAGGACGCTGCCCGCTGCCTAGGAGAGAGCCTGGTAGGGAAGGGGCAGCAGTGGCAGGCTGCCCCCCGTCCAGGCTCAGCTTTCAGGGACAGTGACTGAACGAGCCAGAGCCCTCCCTCCCCCCTGGCATGCTTGGCTCCTGTTTAGGGTTGCCAACTTTCTAGTGGCACAAAACTGAACACCCCTTCCTATGACCCTGCCCATGCCCTGTCCCGTCTTCAAGGCCCCGCCCCCGCTTGCCCCATACCCCCTCCCTCCGTCGCTGCGCTCCCCACCCTCACTTTCACTGGGCTGGGGCAGGGGTTTGGGGTGTGGGAGGGGGGTGAGGGTTCTGGCTGGGGGTGCGGGCTCTGAGATGGGGCTGGGGATGAGGGCTTTGCGGTGCAATAGAGGGCTCCGGGCTGGGGCAGGGGGTTGGGTCAGGGGGGAGTATGGGTTGTGGGTGCAGGCTCCAGGTGAGGCCAGAAATGAGGTGTTCAGGGTGCTGGAGAAGGCTCCAGGATGGGGCAGGGCGTTGAGGTACAGGAGCTGGGAGGTGAGGACTCTGGCTGGGGGTGCAGGCTCTGGGGTGGGGCCGGGGATGAGGGGTTTGGGATACAGGAGGGGGCTCCGGTCTGGGGCCAAAGGATTCAGAGTGTGGGAGGAGGTGCGGGCTCCGGCTGGGGGTATGGGCTCTGGTGTGAGGCCGGGGATGAGGGGGTTAGGGTGAAGGAGTGGGCTCCGGGCTGGGGCAGGGGTGTGGAGGGTGAGGGCTCCAGCTAGGGGTGTGGGCTCTGGGGTGGGGCCGGGGATGCAGGGTGCAGGCTCTTGGAGGGAGTTTGGGTGTGGGAGGGGACGCCAGGCTGGGGCAGGGGGATGGGGTACGGGATCCCGGCGGCGCTTCCTGCCGGCTCCCAGGAAGCGTCCGGCAGATCCCTGCAGCCCCTAGTCACATGGGTGGCCAGGGAGGCTCCGCACACAGCCCTCACGCCCACAGGTGCCGCTCCCGCAGCTCCCATTGGTCACAGTTCCCGGCCAATGGGAGCTGCGGAGCCGGCACTGGGGGTGGGAGCAGCGTGTGAAGCCTCCCTGGCAGCCCATGCACCTAGGGGCTGAAGGGACCTGGCAACTGCTTCTTGGAGCTGCGCGGAGCTAGGGCAGGCAGGGAGCCTGCCTTAGTCCCAGGCCCCTGCTGCACTGCCAACCAGACTTTTAATGGCCCAGTTGGCAGTGCTGACCAGAGCCACCAGGGTCCCTTTTAGACTGGGTGTTCCAGTTGAAAAGCAGATATCTGGCAACCCTATTTGTGTCCCCGGAAGCCGAGCCCAGACAGGGAGCAGGCTGCCACTGCTGCCTGTCCCCAGCCAGGCTCTCTCAAAGGCAGCTGGCTATGCTGCACAGAGCAGGGACTGGGAACAATTCCGTCCCACTCCCCACTCGGGCCTGGCTGCCAGGGAGGGTGGCCGAACATGCCGGGGAGAGCCAGCATCAGGGAGGACAGAGCATCTCCCCCCCAGGTAACGTGGAATGAGGAGGGGCGTGGGGAGAGCATGAGGGCCCCGGGCTCGGGGGGGCGGGAAAGGTTCTGGCACTCCTGCTGGAGTGTCTGGGTTTTAAATATTACAAAATTGGCAACCGTAGTAAGGACATTTTAGAAAACGTTCCCAATGTTGCTAACACCTGTTCAGCTTCACTTGTGCAAGCAATGTTAGAGCCCTATTATAGATGGACACCAATTGCTGCAGACCTGCCAATGACAGCTGGTAGCCAACTTATGCTAGGGCTGCCAACATTGTTAACAGTGGTGAAGCTGAATCAGTCTTAGCAATAGTGGGAAATTTTTAGAAAACGTCCTAATGTAGGCAAGGCCTTTATGTGTTTGATTAGCATGAGTTCACTTACAGTGGGCTATAAAACACTAATATTTCTGCTGATGAATTTCAGAGGAGATCTGCACTTTGGTAATTGCTGAGGTGTTTTCAGAAGACTCTGGGAGTTTCACATGTACTGCAAGCAATAAATATGGCACTGTCTCTAGCATCGCTTGTCTAACTGTTAAAGGTAAGAGAGAATTTTTAGTAACTTTCTTGCAAGTACACATAATTGGATCCGGCTGTGATACTGTATAGAGCAGATTGCTGTGTCTTTTCAGAACTTCTCCAGTTAGAGTACTTCTGTCCATCCTTGTAGGACATGAAGGGACAAATCCTGCGCCAGTCTTTTCTCAAGCTAAACTCTCACTGACCTCAGGATTTGATCAATAATCTTTTTTGTAATCTCTCTTGATTCTCTCCAGTGTATCAGTTCTCTTACTATAGTATAAAGCCCAAAACGAACACGTTGGCCCAGATCCTTAGTTGCCACTCACCTGCTTTGAGCTTCTGAGATACAAAGCAGCTGGTTGAGTAACGCATCAATAAATGAAAAAAAGACTCAGCACAGCATTAGTTTGCATTTCGCTCATGTTTGGAAGGTTTTCTTTGCAACCATAAAAGCTAGAGAATTTTTCTGACTGATTCTGAAGATGCTTGCGAACTCATTGGGGAACAGGGGTGTAGGTCACCTCTAGATCTTTCCAATTGTAGAAAGATTCTTTTTTTTTCTCTTTATAATATTCTCTGTTAAGTTTAAGAAATAGGTATGTGTATGAATATAGCCAAACAATTCATTCCAAAGCTAGGTAAGGCATTAACCTGAGCTTTCCCAACTGCAACAGTTATGATTTTACTGTAATCTAATTCACCAAATTTAAGTAACAGCTTAAGTTTAATATTTGCCATTTCAGGGCCTGAGGACCATAGCAATACTGCTGCCCTTCATACAATGAGCTCAATCAACTTAATTGCTGCTGAACAACATCCTACCCCACTCATCCCTTCACTTCCAGTGGTGGATCAGCCCCCAAAACCTAAATTAGAAGGGGTCCTTGTGAACCACAATGAACCCAGGTCAAGTTCTAAGATAGGCCTCCGGGTGCACTTTAAACTGCCTGAAGATGATAAAGGAAGTGAAACATCATCAGAAGATGGAGTATCTGCAAACCAGGTTAGACCACACTACTTCCAGGAGAGGATTAATGGACAGACAATGAAAATACCAGAGCCAACTTCACCTACAAAAGAGCCCCCTCCAGTACTGGCCAAACCAAAACTGTAAGTAAAAGGGATTTTAAGTCTTAATATAAGTGTTAGAAATCACATACCATTAAACTACCTCTGATTTCATGTGTATTTCATGAGGAAATGAAATTGCATTACAACATTTTTTAAAAATTCAAAAATATTTTCCCATTTCTTTTTGTGTTGTGAATTCTATGATATTCTGTGTGTGTTGTTGCAAGTAAGAGATTAATCATACTGCCTGGATCCAGGCAAAATGCAAGCAAACTTCGCAAATTTCTCACTTAGCTCTGCTTATGTAATCTTATCTGGAGTGGATACATAAAATTTTGTATTTCATATAGACTGGTAGGTGTAGTATTTCTTGAATATGAAACTGAAGATTCATGAGACCTTCCCTTATAACTTTATAACCCAGAAAATGAATCTCATCTTGAGACAAATAAAATATTTAGAGGTTTAAGATGGTGTGATACCAGACAAGTGCAGGATTAGAGCACTGTGGTCTGAGGAGAGATTTTAAGGACCAGTGTAATATTGTTCAAGGGCAACTTTTGGAATCCCAACCATGATTTACACTCAAACTGCGTCCTCTTTTATCTGAACGCCGTTTTGCAGTTAATTAAAGAAATAAACTTCTATCTTTTTGCTAATGGAACTTATAGAATTCCTTGCCTCAAATCCAGTTTAGCAAGCAGTGTAGAGCCCTTTATAGAAAACAAACAAACAAGGAAACCTACATAGCATCTTTCATTTAAAGATCTAAAAGTACTTTACAAAATTAACTAATTAATACTTTGAGGCAAGTGTGTAGTATCATATCACTTTTACAGATGAAAAAACAGAGATTAAGTGACTTGCCAACAGCTTGTTTGGCACATTTGGAAGGAAAAATCAAATGCACAACTACAAAATGTGGAATAATAAGCTAGATGGTAGTACTGCAGAAAAGGATTTGGGAGTTATAATGGATCAGAAATTGAATATGAGTCAACAGTGTGATGCTGTTGTGAAAAAGGAAATTGTCATTCTGGGATGTATTAACAGGAGTGTTATATGCAGGCCAAGGGAGGTAGCTGTTCTACTCTACTTGGCACTGCTGAGGCCTCAACTGGAGTAATGTGTCCAGTTTTGGGTACCACATGTTAAGAAAGATGTGAACAAACTGGAGAGAGTCCAAAAGAGAGCAACAATAATGATAAGAGATGTAGAAAACCTGACGTGATGAACGGTTGAAAGAATTGGGCATGTTTAGTCTAGAGAAAAAAGGGCTGAGGAGGGACACGGTAAGTCTTCACAACATTATTAATGTTGCCCAACACTTGAATGACTACGGAGTCCTGTGGAAAAAATAATATGTGCTCATGTAATGAAAGGCTGTATCATAATGCAGATGCCCAAGGAGGCCAAATTAAATGTGCACAGGCAACCTTAATTCTGGCATTTCGTAACTTTTGAGTGCTTGACTTTGAAACCTTAATAATGTTCTTTTAACATAATTTTTGTGGGTACTAAATTATGTAAAGAACAACAGTTACATTTAAATAAATCTGAAGGTCCACTAAATTCATGGGGTTTGGATTTGGAGTTCCAGTTTGGGGCAGTTTATACTTTTAAACTTTCAGAAAGATAAATTTTCATGTGAAACACATAAATCCTGTAAAGAAAATGTAAGTGAATTCATAGACAGATGAAAGCACCATAAGGTTTGAAGATTCTATATAGAATGGTGAAGACTAAAGTGCAATATAAAATGAACATTAAAAAAATAAGCAATAGCAGCTTTTCTATCTTTCTTTGTTAGATATTAAAGGAAAATTGAGCAATTTATTATATGATGACTCTTCACATCTCATATTTGTCATTTATGTTGTTTTTCACTAAGAGGAGAGGCAGCCTATTATCCATATGCTATATTTCCACATGCATAATAACAAAATATATCACATAATGTGGGGAATAATTTGCTTTGACTGCAAAGTGAACAAAGACCTCCGCTATAAATAACATCTAGGAAATAAAAATTGCATGAAATGCAGCTACTCCCTGAATGATGTACTCCAGCCCTGTACTGAATGTCAACACTAGCCAAATTAAGGCTGATTACATTTACTCTTGAAGTGTAGTTATTATAGAGTTTTGTTTACCATACTGTTGGCTTCAGCACTTAGTTTAAACTCTTAATAGATGTTAAAAAGGCAGGCTTGATATTGGATTGTAAAAGTTCATTTTAATTGTTCTCTCAGTTACACCAGTGCAAGCCCACAGATTTCAGTGGAGACGAACTACTAACTACTAACCATAACAGCAGAATCTGACTCCCTTAAAATAAAGGAAATTAAGTCTCCAGATCAGAGTTTTATTTTCCTGCAAATAGTTCTCTTCACCTGTTTAAAGTTTAAAAAAACAAAACTGTTCCAATCAAATAGCATGTATTATGGCACTGGGAAGAAAGGGGAAAGGCTTTTAGCAGGGGAAAGGAGTGGTTTATTTGAACAATATTTCCTTTCCACCCGATATCGTTCTCTTTGCTTGATGCCACAGAACATAGCATGTAACTGGAGCTGGGAGAAGGAAAGAAGCTCTCCCTAGTTTTTGTTATTAGCATCACCTTTCCTTTTGAGCCTGTGGTCTGACCAGCTGCACATGAAAATTTATACTCTCAGAATTACAGTGGCAGCGCAGACAACCTGTTTAACAGTTTGGTGTGGCACATGACAGATTTCACCCATCCTTGTTTTGTATACAGAGATCCCACCCAGTTACAACAGCTCCACAACCAGGTCTTGCTTGAACAGCAGCATCTACAGCAGCCATCTCCCCCATCTCCAAGAGAACTGCCATTCAACACAGGTATATTGAACTCCGCTACTTCATTCAACCAGCAGTCTACATCAACTATATACAAGCAGGCCAAAGTCTCTCCTTCACAGACATTCAGCTATACCCGACCGAAACAGTTCCTTGTGTCCCAGAACACCACACCACCTATCAACTCCCCTTCCAGCTCCCCAGTGCCTACATTCAGCAGCGTGTCTCAAGGAACCCAAAGAACAATGAACAAGGAAAATTTCGTAGGATCTCCTCCACCAATCCAGACAAGGTCTCCGGGAGGGTTTACAAGCCAAAGTGAGCAGCCTCTAGCAAGTCCCAAAGAATCAGTGTTGCCTCCACTATTGCTTTCTATATCTAGCCTGAACCAATTTCAGCCCCACAGCGTACTTCCTACTCCTGTCTCTCCAATCAGCCGGATTCAGAACCCAGTAGCCTTTCTCAGTTCTGTTCTTCCTTCACTTCCTTCTATACCACCAACCAATGCTATGGGTCTGCCTAGAAGCGCACCAGCTGCGTAAGTAGCACAAACTTACAAGCTGAAGTTGGTACAGGAAGTTACTTTGAAACCATGGTTAATTTCTGTTTTGTGCTCACATAGATGTTTTGTGGAAATAATGTCATTCATGAAATAGAAATATAAATATATTGGTGGGTTCTTATCTGTTAGCAGCATGCCCACTTCTTGGAAAGGAGGATTTGATTCATTCAACCCTTATGCCCAATTAAGGAAGCTTTGAGGCAGGCCCATCTGGAAGGATGGTAGCTACAACATGATACCTGGAGGACAGGGTGTACTCAGGATGACAAGATGGTAGGGTTAAAATGGATGGAGGCAGGAGATATTGAGGACTCTCAGGACTTCGTCAGGTGACCCAATGGTAGGCATATAGAATAGGTATATCTAAAAATAATTTACAAAGGGGTGCTGTTTTGTTTGCAATTGTTAAATATTTAAAAGCTCTGATGAATTAATAGTTTCCAAATAAATGATAATTTAAGTATTAGAATAAGCGGTAGAGAGAGGTTTCTGTGACAGACTAGTGTGCTCTATGTAACCAAACAAGTAAGATGTTATACCCAAAAGATTAATGTTTTAAGTGTCTCGTTTTTTTGTTAGAGAAACAAGATGGGTGAGGTAATTTCTTTTATTGGACCAACTTCTATTGGTGAGAGAGACAAGCTTTTGAGCTTACACAGAGCTCCTCTTCAGGTCTGGGAAACGTACTCAGAGTGGAACATATTGTTTAGCATAAGTAGATGACACATATTTCAAGGGACTGTTCAAGGTGAAGTGGCCAGTTAATACCCCTGCAGTCATGGGGGGAAAGGGAAAAAAAGCTGGGCGTGGGGGGGGGTGTTAGTGGGTTATATAGTGTTTTACATAAATCTAGTGCCTCTATTCAGTCCAGGATTTTTAGTGTCTAGTAAAGTTATGAATTTAAGCTCCCAGACTCGTTTTTTGAAGGTGTTGTGCAGGTGTCCTTTGAGGATGAAGACTGATAGGTCAAATATGGAGTGATCGCTTTGTGAAAAGTGTTCACCCACAGGTGAGATGGTGATTTTTGTCTTTTATTATTTTCCTGTGTGAGTTCATTTGAGAACGTAGGGATTGTCTGGTTTCACCCACATAATTGTTATTGTGGCATTTAGTGCACTGGATGAGGTACACCCCAGGGTGTGATTGGCATGTGTAGGACCCATGGATCTTGAAGGGTATGTGGTTGGGGGTATTGATCATTGTAGCCGTGAAGATACATCTAGAGTTTTTGCATCTGTTGTTCTGGCAGGGTCTGGTGCTACTTTAAGTTGGTGTGTCCTGGTCTGTAGGAAGCTTGTTTCTGATGATGAGCTGGGAGAGGCTGGGGGGGGGGGGGTGTTTAAAGGCCAGAAGATGGTGTTCTGTCATTATTTTCTTGACAGAGTTGAGATTAATAATAATAACTGCTGTCTCTCACACCAACACTGTGTTAGCATGTACTACACTAACACTTTTAAAGATCTTTTCATGAATAGACCTCCAAACTCTTTACAAAGGGGGAGTCAGCATTACTATCCTTATCTTACACATGGAGTAAATGAGAGACAGCAAGGCAGTGACTGTCAAGAATAAACCTAGAGTCTCCTGACTCACTGTCCTGTGTGCATAACTTTATGTCAAATACAGACAAATCTAGGAATTAAAAAAAATATACGTCTACTCCCAACACTCACCAGCCTTTCACAGTAAAGTTCGAAGAAGCCTCTCCTCGTGTACATTTAAGATTGCTCAGCACCAGCAGGTAATTGGTTTCTGCTGAGCTCAGCAACATTCCTACAACACATGCCTGGGGTCTTCTGCAGTCGCAGCATGGAGGGCAGATATATGAAACAGAGCTGTCATATTCTGAGTTAGGATTTTAACCTTACCCCACCAAACAGTGAATGAGATCTCTGCAGCTTTTACAACCTCACAACAACAACAGTAGGCAAAAACCAACCAAACAAAAACCCACTTGGAGCTAGTGCATACGTACTGCAGAACAATTGTTCCTTTCACATTAATCACACTTAACGTTTATATAGCGCATTACAATCATTAACTAATTAATCTTCAGAATACTGAGGTATGGTAGGTAACTATTATTATCTGCATTTACTGTTCCTGGCTCACAGCCCAGAGCTAACTCCACACGTAAATAGCTCCTAAACTGTCAAGGGCCAAATGTACATTTTAATATGGGAGCAAGCATCAAAATGAGGGGCACAAAAATAATCATACAGAGGAGCTGAAAATTATTTGAGTTAAACGGATGAACATTTAGGTCTAGGTATACTTGGTCCTACCTCAGTGAAGTGGGTTGGACTAGATGACCTCTTGAGGTGCCTTCCAGCCCTACATTTCTATGATATACCAGAACTTTAGCTTCATTATTTTGCATTGGTGATGTTAAGAATTACTGCAGTAGGAGTGGTGAGATAACACCAAACTTGTGTGGGATGATCTAAGATAAATGTGCTTTTCATAGTGATGGACTGTTACCCCTTCTACCGATACTTCCCATTAGTCAGAACACAACTAATTAATTATATTAGTACATTGCAGATTTACTCCCCAGTTGCTTTTGGGGCAGGAAGGCCATAGTGTTCCAATGTCCTAGTCTCTTACCGTAGAGACTGTTGTTTAATATTCAAACATTTATTAAAGTTTGCTTTAGTTTAAAAAGAGACAGCATTTCACAAATGGAAAAGTAGGGATTTGGCCTAGAAGAACCAGGATGGGGAGGGCACAGAAAGGAATGAATAATCAGGGAAAATATGAGAAGAGAAGGGGAGGGTGAAGATACACCCACTACATGGTTGCCCTGGTAAGGTAAACACCATTAACTTTTTTGGTATGTTACATCTATGTCTCTGTGTACCTGCACCTAGATGTACACACATTTCTTGAATAGCTTGGTGTTATTCTGATGACATCATTCCAGAAAGCAAGGATCTGGAACCAAGATGTAGTATCTAATGCGTATTCTTTTCTAAATGTGCATTCTTAATTCCTACTGGCATTAACGAGAGTTAAATGCACACAGTAAGATAGTAAATTTTTGTTCTCTGTTTAATAGATAAAGCAATCAGCTGATTTCTTTGCATATTTAGAGTTTAATGAATGACATTACAAAAGTGATTGACTACTATTTATCACTACTAGCATTTTAGTAACAGATCTGTTTTCTAGAGCATCCCATGGACTAATGAAGAAAAATCTAAAGCCCCTGCAATTAGCAACGGATGATTATATTCACAACAATAAAGTTGCAGTTGTAAGGGACCTGCAGAGAAAAATGCATTTCAAAGAGGATGTCCGTCGACATAGTAGTCAGCAGGTAAAAATATTGATTGTTATTAAAGTACACTTCATTCACTCATCATAAGCAAAATAGATGTTGAGTCTTATGGGACACAGATGCGTGTAAGACTGTGAGGTCTCGTAGTAAGTACTACTTTGCAATAACAAACAAGTTTTTAAAAGGATATAAAGAGATATGGATTGTAGAATTTTGTACTGTGAGAGTTCTTATTTTTGCTTGATAATCTGTAATAGAAAATATTTAGATAGTAGTGCAAGAATATAAAACCTTATGTGGGCGTAGGCTCTTCACCTGTACTGGATTTCACTTCCTCACTTTTCATGACATTTAATTAATTACACACATCTTAATTCATCTACTGTACATATTTGATACAACTTAAGTAGAGGAACTAATTGTATGAAAGATTGCTTATTTACTTGGGTTGAAATAGTATGAATTAATATGCTATTTTAATTCTTTTTGTTATGAACATTTTTTCAGACAGCTGAGTAATATTAATTGAGATGTTATTTCATTATCAGCTTATCATAAAAATGTTTGTGGTAGCCGTTATGTCCTTCAGTAGGAACTTCAAAGCCAGTTTTAGGTGAGCTTGATTAAATACGTTTTTAACAAAGCTCAAGAAAGTGAGTATCAGTTGAAATCAACTAGAATCAGTAAATACTTTAAAATGTGGGTGAATAAGAAAATAAGGTGGCAACAAAATGTTGGGGGAGGCTGGGGGAATTCCTTGATAATGCAGATTCAATAGCCATTTAACAATATTGGTATGAACTTGGACATGAAGGACTGAGAGTCTACAAATGGCTACAGAGTAGCCATTTTATCTGTGGGAAAGTATTCTGTTCTCACCACTTATATGGGACCCCTTGTACTAAACCCATTTACTGAGGCTTAGTCCAAAAAGGAGGGATTTTCCCAAGTTTCTCACAAACAAGAACTTTAAGCATCTCTGAAAGAGAATACACAGATATCTGAAAACTGTGGCCCTGTGGCGTCAGTTACCCACTGTTACAACTGCTGTTGTAATCTCTGGCTTTTTAATTATGCTGTTAACCTTTCCTCTAATGGATTCCCCTCCTAGAACACTTCTAGTAAAACAATTGGCATGTGGTATGTTTTGCAGATGAATCACAAGTGTTACAGTTTGTACTTGCTAGGGTAGTAAGACAAATTATTTAGATAACTACTGTGAAATACCAGTCAGTCTTTCAAGTTAACTGCATGATAACTTCTGTAGAAACAAGGGGCACTACATAGTATTAAAGTTATCTACTGATACCACAAGTTATTTATATACTGTATTTATCATTAGGTATGAGGCCAAACCAAAATCCTGAATCCTGCAGCCCAAGAACTTTGAGGAAGTTCAGATTTGACCCATCTCTAATTACTATGATAACTTGCCAGACAACTTCCAATTTTGGGGAGGTTCAACAAAAGTTAATGTTAAAAAAAGAGGGGAAGTCTAGTTCCACTGCAAAATGAACAATCCATCTCCTCCACAAGGGACTCAGTGTTTGAGCTAAATCCACTGTTTTCACCTCTGCTTCCCAAATCCCCACCCTGAACCACTAACATTTTTATACCTCCACAACTCGGGGAGGAGACTGCTTTGGTTGATACTAGCACCTGAAAGTTTGAGAGAAAACCTCTTGGTATTGGTCTTCAAACAGGACATGAAATGAAGGAGGGGGGGGGAAAGAACAGTGGACATATGGATGCATTATATCTAGGTGTTTCTGTACTTGGCCACATGGGTGAGGGGTTCTGTCCCAACAAATGAAATATTGAAAAAGATTTTTTTTTGGATCAGTTATTTCTGCATTAACTTGGCTTTTTGTTTGTTTGTTTGGGTTTTTTTTTTTTCTTTTTCTTTTTTTTTCTTTTGGAGTACCAGGAGAGTTCTTTTTTAGGAATTTATATTCAGTTTTTATCAAACACTGATAAATCAGTACTGCATAGAAAAGATAAGTATTTAATGAATGGATATGAGTATTGTCCTATATTGAGCTTAGCTAGTAGTTTCATTATATTTGATTTTCTCAATATTGTTTTTACTAGGGCTGTCAAGCGATTAAAAAAACGTAATCGCGCGATTAAAAAAATTGTGATTAATTGCGCTGTTAAATAATAACAGATTACCATTTATTTAAATATTTTTCAATTTTTCTACATTTTCAAATGTATTGATTTCAATTACAACACAGAATAAAAAGTGTACAGTGTTCACTTTATATTTATTTTTGATTACAAATATTTGCACTGCATAAAACAAAATAAATAGTATTTTTCCATTCACATAATACAAGTACTGCAGTGCAATTTCTTTATCATGAAAGTTGAATTTACAAATGGAGAATTATGTACAAAAAAAACTGCATTCAAAAATAAAACAATGTAAAACTTTAGAGCCTACAAGTCCAATCAGTCCTACTTCAACCAATCGCTCAGACAAACAAGTTTGTTTATAGTTGCAGAAGATAATGCTTTTGCATGGCACTGTTCTAGCCAGCGTCGCAAGATATTTACATGCTAGATGTACTAAAGATTCATATGTCCCTTGATGCTTCAACCACCATTCCAGAGGACATGTGTCCATGCTGATGATGGGTTCTGCTCAATAATGATCCAAATCAGAGCGGACCAACGCATGTTCATTTTCATCATCTGAGTCAGATGCCACCAGCCGAAGGTTGATTTTCTTTTTTGGTGGTTCAGGTTCTGTAGTTTCCGCATCGGAGTGTTGCTCTTTTAAGACATCTGAAAGCATGCTCCACATCTCATCCCTCTCAGATTTTGGAAGGCACTTCAGATTCTTAAATCTTGGGTTGAGTGCTATAACTATCTTTAGAAATTTCAGATTGGTATCTTCTTTGCATTTTGTCAAATTTGCAGTGAAAGTGTTCTTAAAACGAACAACATGTGCTGGGTCATCATCTGAGACTGCTATAACATGAAATATGTGGCAGAATGTGGGTAAAACAGAGCAGGAGACATACAATTCTCCCCCAAGGAGTTCAGTCACAAATTTAATTAACGCATTATTTTTTTAACGAGCGTCATCAGCATGGAAGCATGTCCTCTGGAACGATGGCCGAAGCATATGAATCTTTAGCGCATCTGGCATGTAAATATCTTGTGACGCCAGTTACAACAGTGCCATGTGAATGCCTGTTCTCACTTTCAGGTGATATTATAATTAAGAAGTGGGTAGCATTATCTCCTGTAAATGTAAACAAACTTGTTTCTCTTAGCGATTGGCTGAACAAAAAGTAGGACTGAGTGGACTTGTAGGCTCTAAAGTCTTACATTGTTATATTTTTGAATGCAGTTTTTTTTGTACATAATTCTCCATTTGTAAATTCAACTTTCATGATAAAGAGATTGCACTACAGTACTTGTATGAGGTGAATTGAAAAATACTATTTCTTTCATCATTTTTACAGTACAAATATTTGTAATAAAAAATAATATAAAGTGAGCACTGTATACTTCGTATTTTGTGTTGTAATTGAAATGGATATATTTGAAAATGTAGAAAACCACCCAAAAATATTTAATAAATTTCAATTGGTATTCTATTGTTTAACAGTGCGGTTAATCATGATTAATTTTTTTAATCGTGATTAATTTTTTTGAGTTAATCACGTGAGTTAACTGCAATTAATCGACAGCCATCGTTTTTACACATATTATCTCCATCTCCTCCTAAATGTTGTTGTGTAGTATTTTTCTTATGCAGAGTGTTGTATTGTATCTCAAATATCAGAGGGGTAGCCGTGTTAGTCTGTATCCACAAAAAACAACGAGGAGTCCAGTGGCACCTTAAAGACTAACAAATTTATTTGGGCATAAGCTTTTGTGGGTTTTTTTACCCACGAAAGCTTAGGCCCAAATAAAGAAAGCTTATGCCCAGATAAATTTGTTAGTCTTTAAGGTGCCACTGGACTACTAGTTGGTATTGTATCTCAGAGTTGTCTGAATTTCAGTGGCAGGGAAAGTGATTGCTGTATAATACAATTTGTGAAGCATCTTGGGAACATCCGGAATGAAAGATGTACTATGCTGAATATAAAGTGCTGCTATCATTTTATTATATTACTATAATTACTATTATATTACACAAGAGTGATTCCATATAAATGTATGTCTTGATTCCCTATTTATTATCCAACAATGACTTTCACATGAAATCTGTTCAGCTTACAAGTCAAGAGTTTGCTAACTGTGCACTCAGCATGATATTTTATAATCCAGATGTGTTCCTTCAGCTTCATCCAGTACATCATTCATCACCAACAATAAAGGATATAAGATGCAGAACATAGCCAGTAATTTTGCTGATGATGCATGAGGTGGAATAGATTATAATATAGTCTTTTACAGCTATGTTAGCTGTGCAGTACTGGCAGGAGTAAAGACATGTTTTTGCTAATGGATATAGCAGATGTAAATTTTACTGTGTGTGCAGTAATAAGATGCCATTTTTACTAAATACTTTAATCATCATAACCATCCTTTAAACTGAATTATGCTTACAAGCTTCATTTCAATGGGACTATGAATGGGAAAAGTTCTACTATTTGGACAACACTTGTGAGTTAACAGCAGTATTATTTCCTTGGAAAGCTACCATACAAGTTATATAATTGATAGGAAAACAAAGATAATGAAATCTCCAAACCCTGTGTTATAGTAAAATTAAGGGAACTAAATCTACAATAATCAAGAAAAGTTAGAGTTAAAGAATGAGAACAAGGAGTTGGATTAGTTGTGTGAGTAGAACCCTTGCAGCCCTAAGAATTATGAATTGTACCCACACATTTATGTTGTTTACCATGAAGAAAACTATGCAGCAGTGCTCTCTGGCTGTATCTCATATGAGACATTGAGAGCAGCACACAGCCCTCAAACACATATGTATGCTTCCCTTTCCCTGGTGAATATGATAATGTCCAGGATACAGCAGGCCTAGAGTTTATCTATGGGCTCTTCTAGGCACCCTAACCAATAACAGAACTACACCTCATAAAAACCAAACACAGCAACAGCAGATCAGAGTTCATTTCCTTTTTATTTATTCTGCACCAACACCAACAAAACAACCAATCATTGATAACCACAATTATCTCATCTCAGATCCCACAAAACACAGTCAAACCTCACAAAGACCCCCAAAACTCACTCAAAAAACCCTGTACCCTAAAGGACTATAATCACACATACTTCAGCCATCCCGAAAAGCAACATACAAATTTAGGCTATTTTGGACGAAGGGAGGGAACTAAATTCCAAAGTAAATTCTCATGGAGAATGCCCAGTTGTATAATACAAGACAAAACAGGGTTAGTAATTGGCAATGTGCCAAAGGATACAATTCAAGATCTTGGTATTAATATGTAAAACTCTTAGCAATCTGGGCTCTCTGGGAACGTCTACACAGCAAAAACAACCCTGTAGCAGTGAGTCTCAGAGCCCGGGTCAACTGACTCAGAATTGAGGGGCTCACACTGTCTAAAAACAACAATGTAGCCTTTTGGGCTTGGGCTGGAGCCCAGGTCTGAGACCTGGCAAGAGGGGAAGGGTCTCAGAGCCCAGTTTCCAGCCAGAGTGTCTACACTGCTATTTTTAGCCCACCAGCACAAGCCCATGAGCCCAGGGAAGGGTTGCTGTGTATTTGTACCCTAATTACTTGAGCAGTCACCAATTGCTTTATGTCCCTGGCTAACAGTTTTGGTCTTTTTTAAGGCCCTAGGTCTAATCAAGATCAAAGAGAAAGGTCTCTCTCGGACAACGGTTCTCATTGATAGAATTCACCACCTAGAAAACAGTCATTGAGCTTTTCACACTCTGCATGTTGGGACACTGCAAACCCATTAATTCAGTTGGTCTGCCTTTGACAGTTTGGGTGCACCTTGTCCTCCCCTCCACCCACACACACATTTGCTCTTTCTTCTGTTTTCCTCTTGCATCTGACTACTTGAGAACTGATCATTTGGGGGTGATTTATATTTTTGATGCCTGTGTATTATATGCAAGTGGCTGTGATTTTAGATTTTTACTATTTTATATTACATTTTTGACTGTACAGCAAGATGTCACTGTGACGGGTTCCCCCTGGGGTGCCACTTGGAACTGGGGTACCACTGAGCCCGCCTGACCCACCAACCCGGGCTCCTTTTCACACTGTGGTGCTGTGATAAGTTGCTAAATTCTCCAAGCTTGCTCTTTCACCAGCATACACACAGATAGGGACCTACCCAGCTGCAGCTTTACACACAGATGCTGAGATCAGCTCTGCATGGGAAGGCTCAGCTAAGGCACCTCCCAGTTGATAAGGCACCCTCCTCCCCCCCACACACACACACTCTGGAGTGTAAACCCAAAATTGTACCATCTTGCGCTGCACAGGGAACTACACAGCGTAAGCTCATAAAATTCGCCCCTCCCTCAATGTGGAGAGAGATATGCAACAGCTTTCTGCCCTAAATTATAATTTCCACATACTGGTTTTAAACAAAACAAAAACAAGTTTATTAACAACAAAAAATAGATTTTAAGCTATTATAAGTGATAGCAAACAGATCAAAGCAGATTACCTTAGTAAATAAACAAAACCACAAACTGAGCTTAACACACTAGATAGGTAAGATATGAATTAGCAAATTCTCACCCTGAGTAATAAACAGGCTGGCAGATTCTTAAGGCACAAGCTGCCTTGGCTTTCCTGGGTTTTCATACACAGGCTAAAAATCCCTCTAGCCTGGGACCATCACTTCCCACAGTTCAGTCCTTGCCCCTCAGGTATTTCCAGGTGTGTTGTTGTAGGGAGAGTGAGGTACCATCATGATGTCACTGAACCCCTTTTATATCTTCTTCTCACTTGCTGAAAGGCTCTTTTGCTGTGACCTGAGTCAAACAGTTCCCATTGTGTAGTGCTATCTCTGAGAGGTTTCTATTATACACAGTTCCTGGGGTAATCCTTGTGCTTGGGTGCATTTCCTCAATAAGCCATTAATATTGTTGGGCCTTTTTACTGTTGTACCTGAAAGGCTGCTTGTGGGTGTTTTCAACCTCACATGTTTCAGTAACACATACATAGCCAAACTTCATCACTTCACATATGACGATAGCAAATACCATCCAATGAGATATTACTGTCTAGCAGATCAAGACTTTTAGAATGATACCTCACAAGGCATACTTTGTACAAAACATATCCTAATTACATGACAGTGGTGAATATTGGGATGCCAGGGTGTCACAGTCACCACAGCTGCAGGAACAAAGAACCCTGCGTTTTAGTTCTTAAATTGCAGCTCAAGCCTTTGTTCTCTTCCCTTTGGCCATTTTATTGTCCAGGACTCCAGTCTAGATTTATTACTCAAACTTGTGATCATTAATTAGTTTACTGTGTGATGCTTTATGAAATGCTTTACTGATGTCCAGGTTAGTCACAATCAGAACCACCTTTCTTTAATCTTTTTATGTAAATCACCCTTTAAAAATTTCTATAGCCTTTGTTTGACAAGATCAGTTATTCAGAAAACCTGTCAGCAATCACTTTGTTTGTGTTCTTTCATGCTAATCCTAAAAACAAAAACAAATCAAACACACACACACACACACACACACACACACAAAATGAGGAAATAGACAAATAGACTAAAATCTATTAAAGTTTACAGTATTTACTTATTTCAGCAAGAGATTCATGTTCCCCATTTTAAGTTTCTTATGATACCTTCACTCAATAAAAGTTAAAGTTACGATTCCTACAGCAATATTAATATGGCCTTGTTTTACTTTATATATTATTGTAGTTTTAACAAAACCTTTGAATTATAGACATAAGAGAAAACAGGAAGAGGAAATATGACACGTACAACATTCCTGAGTTAATTGTACTGTAGGAACCTTATCTTCGGCATTTCCTGACTTTTAAAATTTAAACTGTGCAAACCTAGGCCATGATCCTGCATAGTCATCTCCATGAAGCCCCACTGACATATCTGGGATTCCACATGAACACAACAATTTGCCAGCATGGATCAGTGCAGGATCAGAATGTTGCAATAACAGTCATTTTTGCATGCCATTTTTTTTTAGTAAAGAAACACACAAGAAAGAAAAAATGCTTATGGTTGACTTTTAAATGAGTCCATCAGATGGACTCCCTTCTCCCATATTCTCTGCTATAAAATAGCACAATATAAAGGAGAAAATGCTCCTATTTTGTAATTACATACTGCATCTTCTTTTTGATAGCAGCCAGTATCAAATAAAAATCAGTAGAAAAACTGCTGAAATACCCCAAGTATCTAGAACAAGTATCAGACTCTCCAATTATGTGGTAATATTTCATTACCTCTGAACTTCATTTATTATATTTTGATTCCAAAATCAGCTCCAGATTCATTAAAATTATACCTTTAAGTGTTATGGTACTATCTTCCTAATCCCTAATCTTACTTCCCTCTGGTATGGTACTATCTTCCTAATCCCTAATCTTACTTCCCTCTGCTAGAGAACAACATATGATGAAAAACTGACCCACAGACTTCAGGGACCAAGCAATGATTCCCCAGTCTTCAACTATACAACTCAAGATGTATCCAAGGTACAACATTATTATCCAACTTTTGTTACAACATATGTAATTCTTGTCACTAGATTTTTCATTTCCAAATTCTGCGTTTGACACAATCGGTAAAAAAAAAATGATATGAAAATAATTGCTTCATTGTTCTAGAAAGTTATTATATTTGCATTTCTTTGTAGGTTTGAAAAATTTCATGATCAGCATTTGTGCTGCTAAACACACTAATATAGTTTAAAACTATACATTTGAGCCAGTCCAGTAGCAGGTCTTTGCACTGCTAAACAAAGATCCTGTGTAAAAATCTCTGGGCTCAAACTGTGGTCCTTAGGGTAGCAGGGGCTGGGAGTGCTGTGAAGACATCACACTTGGCACTGGCAGAATGGAATGCCTTTTGTTGCTTGATGTTGACTACGCTGGAGGTTCAAAGAGCAGTAACCATTCCAACAATTCTGCTGTGTTGGGTTGGGTTCTCCTTTGCACTGTAATAACTCAAATGACTATACAAGAGAAGATTCAGGTGCCATGCGTTCTTCTTTGTTCCTTATTACAATGTGCATAAAAACCAAGAGTTTGTTTATTGGCTTCTGTAGTCCAAATCCCCATCCTCTAAATTTTCAGGGTCTCAGATTGTTGTGGTCACGCAACTTGCTTACTCCATGAAGACATAACACTCCCCATCCTCATTCAAGTTCCATCTAATTCAACTGTAGCCAAAAGTTGCCTTCCTGAATTCTCCAAATTATCCATGGATTTACTGTACCTTACTTCTGACCTCATATCCTCTACCTAATCACCTGCTCAATCACCCTATTCTTCCCCAGAGCCCTGTAGCTACACAACTGTACATGACACTTTACAAAACAGTGTAGCTAGAGCACTGCTGAGGGATAAAAGCTGTTGTAAGAGATTTTCTGATGTCCTAAATGCACAAAGAACAACATTTTTGTTTAGTGACTCGCAGACAACTTCACAATTGTTAATCTGCAACCACAGTTTAACGATCCCTGATATTAAGGTGAAACTAGAGCATAGTTTGATTGGACAGGTCTGGAACTTGGGGAAGCCAGGCCTGGAAAGTAAGTGATCAACATAGATCAGAATTCCCCCTAATACAACGTATTATGTTCAGATCAAGATACTTATTTGATAGGTTATTCTTTTCAACATTCCAAGGAAGGAATGGAAAAGTGGTTAGCATACTAGTCTGGGACATGGGAGACCAAGATTCAATTACTTGCTCCACCACAGACTTCCCATATGATATTGGGCAAGTCACTAAGGGCAGGTCTACACTTACCGGGTAGTTCGACGGCTGGCAATCGAAGTTCCGGGTTCGATTTATCGCGTCTGGTCTGGACGCGATAAATCGAACCAGGAAGTGCTCGCCGTCGACTGCGGTACTCCAGCTCAACGAGAGGAGTACTGCGGAGTCGACGGGGAGCCTGCCTGCCACGTGTGGACCGCGTCTGAACCGCGGTAAGTTCGAAGTAAGGTATGTCGAATTCAGCTACGTTATTCACGTAGCTGAATTTGCGTACCTTACTTCGATTTGGGTGCTAAGTGTAGACCAAGCCTAAGTATCTGTAAAATGGGAAGAATAGTACTTTCCTACCTCTCTGAGGTGTTGTGAGGGTAAATGCAGTAAAAAAGAGATTGTCAGTTGCTCAGATACGATGGTAAATGTGGACTATATAAGTGTTTAAGATACAGTAGAACCAGGGCCGGTGCAAGGAAGTTTCGCGCCCTAGGCGAAACTTCCACCTTGTGCCCCCCCTCACCCAGCTAACCCCCCCCCCCCCCTCCGCCGCACCCCCCCCCTGGGGAGCCCCCCCCCCACGGCAGCTAACCCCGCCTGGGGAGACCACCCCAGCTCACCTCGGCTCCGCCTCCTCCACTGAGCACGCTGGCGCCGCTCTAATTCTCCTCCCCTTGCAGGCTTGCGGCGCCAATTGGAGGAGACTTAGAGTGGGGGCTGTGTGCTCAGCGGAGGAGGCAGAGTGGAGGTGATCTGGGGTGGGGAGCGGTTCCCCTGTGTGCCCCCCCCATTACTGCGGGTGACCCTCCCCGCGCGCCCCCCCACCCCACCCCAGCTCACCTCCACTCCACCTCCTCGCCTGAGCGGGCTTCTACGCGCCCCCAACCACTAGGCGCCGTAGGCGGCCGCCTAGTTTGCCTAAATGGTTGCACCGGCCCTGAGTAGAACCTCAGAGTTACGAACTGACCAGTCAACCACATACCTCATTTTGAACCGGAAGTACACAATCAGGCAGCATCAGAGACAACCAAAAACAGCAAATACAGTACAATAGTGCAGTGGTTTTCAAACTGCGGGTCGCGACCCAATACTGGGTCGCGGAATGTAAGGCACTGGGTTGCGACAGCTCTGGTCAGCACCACTGATCGGGCCATTAAAAGTCCCGTCAGCAGTGCTGCCCGGCTAAGGCAGGCTAGTCCCTACCTGTTCTGACACCACGCTGTACCCTGGAAGCTGCCAGCAGCAAATCCAACTCCTAGACTGGGGGGTCATGGGGCTCCGCATGCTACCCCAAGCACCGTCTCTGCACTCCCATTGGCCAGTTCCTGGCCAATGGGAGCTGGGGGGCAGTGCCTGCAGGAGAGAGCTGCGCGGAGCCGCTTGCGCACCTCCGCCTAGGAGCTGGACCTCTGCACCCCCGCTGTGCCGCTGACTGGGAGCCGCCCAAGGTAAGCCAAACACTCTGAAGTATATGCCTTCCTACTTTAAAGTTATGCTGTAACAAACCTCAATGTCAGGACACAATTGCATCATTTGTGGGGAAAGTAAAGTGTGTGATAGGTATATAATCATGATCCCTTGAAATAGGTGTTTACTTATGCTAAACAATTTGTTCCACCTTGTATTTAGCTGTGACACTCTGAATGCTTTTCCCACACCTGAAGAAGAGCTCTGCGTGGCTCAAAAGCATGTCTCTCTGACCAACAGAAGTTGGTCCAATAAAAGATATGACCTCACCCACCTTGTCTCTCAAAGGAAATACAGGATGTCAAGACTCTGAAAAAAAATTCTGTTCTGGTGGTAGACAAGCTATTTGTCCAGTTTGAAACCAGACAGTCCTGTTTTCATACAGTTTGTGCCTGTCTGATACTAATAAAACACTGAACGTGGTTTTGTCTGGTATCATACATGGAGGATGCCATTTCCCAGAGAACACTCCTCTGCCCCCAGTGGCATGACCCTGTGTGTGAGCTCACGCTGGCTAGGGTCAGGCAGTACATTCTGAACAATGGCATCCTCTGTGCTACATGTGAGAGGTCATGCTGGCAAGGGTGGAGGGGTCACGTAGGTGGGGGTGGGGAGAACCAAGGGGATGTCCTGTATTCTGGAGATGCATCAGTGGCTATCCTGTGGGGCCTTAGAGAAACTAGTAATAATGTCTTCAGGTCCTGGGAGATGGTAGGGGGAGTCTGTACAAGTGTTTGCTCTCTGCTCTCAGAAGCTACCTGAAGAATTCCAAAGAAGCCCTTAGAAGTTCTCACAGCAAATTTCAAATCTAAGAAGAATGAAATGAGATATCAGAAAAGTGTGGACATGGAAAAAAAGAGAAATATCTGCTTAGAATCACAGCTTATGAGAGAAACTGGTGTATCTGAATTTGGATGATTTAATTTATGAGTAACTCCAGGAAAAAAGGAGATGACTATGAAGCATTTTAATGCCAAGGCTATTTCTTAAAATACACAAATCACTCTCTGATTTCATATGGAATCTGCCCCCACACAGTCCTGTTCCCAGCACCAGAAAAAACAATTGATTGCTTAACTTCCCCGTAGACCTGTACAAAGGCCAAAACCTGTAGTTTGCAGGAAAACATGATACATTTGGTAGATCTGAAATCAGAGTAACTCCTGATTTACGCTAGTGTAACAGATTAGAATTTGGCCTATCATATAAAGTGATATGCTAAGACGTCCTTTGTGAAAGAAAAAACTAAACAAGATGAAATTCAGTAAGGATGTATTCAGCTTGCCAGCTGGTGGTGAGGCAAACCTTAACCAACCATTACAGTAGGTAACACCATCTTGTGGATGCATCCTGCACAATACCACAGACTTGTGGGCTCAGGAACTCTGATCTGGCTGTGTTGTGTTCACTGCAGAGGAGGGAGACAAAAATGTATTTCCCCCACTTTTCTGCTCCCTCAACTCCCATTCTGGGTTAGCCAGTTCAGCCTCCCACATAAGTTAGAGAAGTCTGAAGGCTGTAATGTGCACTGGCTGGTAACTGTATCTTAGGGCATCAGAATGTACAGTATCATTCCTCAGCCCCAACCCCTCATATCCCCACCACGCCCCCTACACTGGGTTGTTAGGACAGGGGGGTGAAGAGACAGATCTATGCCAGCCAGGGATTCCCTTACACAGGGAAATCTATAACTAGCCTATTTAGGCAGCTCCTGTTGTACAAGGAGGGTTGGGGAGTGGAGAAGGAGCCTATGGTCTGTAGATAGCAACTTTTAGCGACCACAAAAAGGAGAGTCCTTCTAGCTGAGTGAAAGGAACTATGCTGCACTTCTTATCTGACAGGCAGTCTTTGCTTATCTTGCACATGAGGCTATTAAAATATGTCATGTGGGGTATTATGAGGGCTGATTCATAAATATTTGTAAATCTTTAGAGGGAAGATGCTTTAAAAATTCAAAGTATTATTATCCTGTATAAAGAAAAACCATCACTATCTTTTCAGAAATACTTACCGGTAATTTCTGAAATATGTCTCTTAGGGTCTTGGAACTTTTCCTTACTGAATATTCTTAGATCAAACAGCCTGTATTTTATCACAGTTCCACTCCCTGTATGCTGGCAGTTAAAGTGAAATTTTGATGGCACACATCTGTGTGAGAAATAGGATAAGGACATAATCCTATTCCCAGTGAAATCAGTTGCAAAACTACTATGGACTTCAACAGAAGTAGGAGCCATATTTTTGTGCCAAATAGAGAGGAGGCTGACGCTCTATGTACAGATCTCATAATGAGAGAGGTTTTAGACAGTCTTCTCATTGGCATTGAGAGGAAGGTGTAGCTGAGCAATGTGTCTTTCCATTGACTTCAGTGGCTTTGGATCAGGCCCTTAATGAATTCAAACAAATTGTAACTGTTCACACTGGAATGTTCACTGTTGCACCATATATTTTCATAATCTAAGGACCAGTTTCAAACTTACATTTTTACATCGTGGGCCAGATTGTGCTCTCAGTTACAGCAGTGCAAATACAAAGTAACTCCACTGGTCAAGATTTTGGCAGTAAGGTAAGTAAACCCGAAAATGTTTCATGTTTTTTATCTTGATATCTTTGTCTTTTGGCAGCTATACTTTTGTTTATTTAAATGTGAATTAAATTATTACACAAAAAGGCAGTACTTCCTATATTTAGCAGGCTACTAGTTCTGGAAAACACTCTTGAAAACCGCAGTTTACTTTTTCAATGTGCCACATTCTCGAGAGAGGCCTAGGAGTTATGTGCACAGCTCCCATTGAAGAGGTGCAGCTCCCTTTGACAGATCTCAACCTTAGTCTCATTTTTGTGAAACATATACACTGAAGTTACAATAAGAGCCTGCGGGTGCACATATTGGTGTATACTGCTGCACGATGCACCAGTGCACCTACTGTTGGGGTTAGGGCTTTTTAGGTTTTCAGGTCTTTTAGCTGACATTTGGTTTAAGACAAGTGATTGGAAATACCTTTGAGTGTAATAGTGTTGTTCAGATCACTGCCGATATAATTCTGCAGGAATACAAGATTTCAAGCTTTGAACAGAGGTTGATGAATGAAATAGAGTTTCGCCTGGAACGCACCCCAGTGGATGAATCAGATGATGAAATCCAACATGATGAAATACCTACAGGCAAGTGCATAGCACCCATCTTTGACAAGAGACTCAAGCATTTTCGGGTCATGGAAGGATCTCCTGTTACATTCACCTGCAAAATTGTTGGAATACCCATACCCAAAGTAAGTGATGCTTAAAGTCAGATGTACAGAAATAAAGGTTCCTTACGATTAACTTCCAGTATATCACTTCTGCAGCCCCTCACTCCCAAGACTGTTGTTCTGCATAGGTAGTTCTCAAAGTAATCAGTAAAGCAGTTAATATTGCAGAATCTCCCCACTACTGCTTAGTGCAAGTCAGCCCTAAGTGATCTGCATGGACTGATCTCCAGATCTTTTTTGATCAAAGGAAGACAAAACTCGATAAAAATATTAAGGTCTGATTCTGTCTCAAATACATGGGCTGATTTGATGAGATGTCTAGCAGTGCACATACTCATACAGCCAAGATAACAGTTCTGTAATGTTAACTTACATTATCCCAATACTGAAACATTCAGTTGTTTATTTTAAATGATCTGCACATTTTACAATATTTATAAAAATGTGCAGTAGCAAATGTTCAGCAAACACATTTTACTCTTATCTGCAGATTGCCTTGTCACTATTCAACAGCAAAGCAAATGTAAATAGCTGTTTTTCTTTATGATCACTTTCAGGTATATTGGTTCAAGGATGGCAAGCAGATTTCAAAGAAAAATGAACATTGCAAAATGAAGAGAGAGGGAGATGGAACATGTTCTCTACACATTGAAGCTACTACTAATGATGATGATGGAAACTATACAATAATGGCTGCAAATCCTCAAGTAAGGGAATTTTTTCTTTACAAATGTGTTTTTTTCAGCTTAGAAAGATAAGTAATTAGGAACATAAGAATTGCCATACCGGATCAGACCAGTGGTTCATTTAGTCCAGCAACCTGTTTGTGACAGTGGCTAGAACCAGATGCGTAAGAAGCATCCACGTAGTAGACAGTTATGGAAAACCTGTTTATACTCTTACTCATCTTCTCTCTAAATTAAACAGTCACAATGAGTTTCCCTTTATATGAACATGTGTCTGTGCCTCTAATCATTTTTGGTCACCCATTCCAAACATCTTCTATTTCTGCTATATCTTTTTTGAGACAAGGTGATAGGAAATAGATGCAATATTTCAGGTGGGTGCAACATTTATATAAATGCCATTATAATATTTTCAGTATTAGTTTTTGTTCCATTCTTTATACATTCTAATATTTTGTTTTCTTTTTTAATAACTGCTGTAAATTGACCACAGCTCAGTGCACAAGTTGTGCATGTGACCTGTTTAAAAATTGTAAATCTAAAACATTACCTTTGTTTTGCTCAAAATTTCCCATCTATTCTTAGCAAGTTTCACATTACTATAAATATTTTTGATTATACAGTCCCCAAACCAGATAGATTAAGTTGTTATGGTGCCATTGCTTAAAATAACATGATAGCTGACAACAGCTTGATTCTCCACTCTGTTACTGCAGTTTTGTGTCCGTGGAATGATATTGAAGTCAATGGAATTACACTGGTGTAAAACTGGCTGAACCTATGGTGAGCCTCGCAAAGCAGAGTAGAGTTCGATGTGTGGACAACAGTTGTGTTGTCAAATACATGTTCTTTGATTGACAAATGTCTAGTGAGGATCAGGTTAGCCACTTAGTTGGTGGGTTCCTTTGCTTGTGTTTTACTCTATTAAGAAATATAGAACTGCTATAATTTATATACAGTGGGCCAAATTCATCCCTGGTGTAATTCTAGGCTTTCATGATCTTTCCTTGATTTCATTGACTTGTATGGATTTGATTTCAACAGATTTACCCTGTTCCAGTAGAGCTATACCGGGGATGAACTTGGGCCCTTAAATGTTAATATATTTTGAAAGATGTGAAATTGCAAATTGTTTTGTGGCACTTCCCAGTATTTAAGTAATATAAAAGCCCTGTAGTACAGTCACAGTTTAAAATATATTAGTTCCGTAATGTTCTGTAGAGGATCAAACACTTATAATGAAGAATCGAACAAGTGGTTAACTGACAATTAATTCTATTTCCATTCTTTTTTAGGGGAGAATCAGTTGTTCTGGCCACTTGATGGTTCAGACTGTTCCCATGCGTGGCCGATTAACAACTACTCAGTCGCACAGGTAAGATGATGTACAATGCCAGAATCACACCGTTTTGCTTTACCGAGGTTGCCATTTTGACCCAGAATATTTTTCAGGTTGAGTGATTTACTTGAATTTCTTGGTGCTGATTGGTCCAGAGCCGTAGAATTTTATTGGCATGGTTAAAATTTGCTATCTGTCCCAACATTATCTGCTCATCTGTTGATTCCGTCATTGAGATTTTGGTGTAATTTGTTTCTAGAGGGTGGATGGTTTGCACTTAGCTGATTAATTGAGGAAGGATGGCCTGTGACCAAAAGCACAGAACTTTGAGTTGGTGGGTGATCCTGGCTCCACTGAAGACAAAGGCAAAACTCCCACTGGCTTCAATGGGAGCAGGATTTCATCCAGAGGTTCCAAGTTCTATTCCTGCTCCTGCCATGTACTTCCTTTGTTAATGCGCTCAAGTCACTTAGGTCAAGGTTTTCAAATGAATGAGCCAGTGAATTTGGGTGCTGGATTTCAGGCACCCTAAAGTGACTTGATTTTCAGAAACTGCTGAGCACCCACCTTCTGAAAATCAAGCCTCTTTAATGTGTTTCAATTTGGACACTCAACATCACTAGTCATTTTTTAAAATTTTGGCTTCAGCCTGTATCTCACTCTCCACATCTCTAAAAATGAGGATAATAATGCTTCCCTACCTCCCTAGTTGTGGGGTTTAACTCACTAATGTCAATACAGTGTTTGATATCATCAGGTGGAAGGTACTAATTAAATGCAAAGTATTATTATTACAGTTAGTTAATCACAATTGCAATGGAGTTACCGGAAATGGATGAATTAGTAAAAATAAATTCTGCCAGAAAAATATGGAATGACTTAGGAATCCAGTTTTACTTACTATATTAAAAGTTCATTTGATAATCCTAACAAATTTAAAATATGCACACATTATATTGTACTTAATGCTTTTCTTTGTACACCTATTCTGGCATTACTTTTTGGTTTTACCTAAATAACTATTGATCATTTTCTACAGTTTGTGCCTCATACCAAATTTTAGGAAAATAATTTATATTTCTTCCAAACACATACCTGCAGTTTTGTATTGCAGAGCAAGGTCCCGTGTGCAAGAAGGAGATAAAGAACCACTACAAGAACGTTTTTTCCGGCCATATTTTCTGCAGGCACCTGGAGACATGGTAGCTCATGAGGGGCGACTTTGTAGACTGGACTGTAAGGTATTGTCATGGCTCACTCTTACTCTCTCTGTATACATACTGGTAGCTGTCTTCCTTAATAGGCTTTCTTCAATACTTTCTTCTAATATTTAATGCCTTTCTTGTGTTTGTTCTCTCATTTCTTACTACCACTCTGCCTGAGCTTCAGGTGTTTTCTACATAGCACATGCAAAATGGAATGAAAAATGCTGTATAAATTTCACCAAAACTAGAAGGCTCATTTACAACAGAGTTCATACAATTTATGTGGCTTAGTTTCTACCAGCCTTTTAGAAGAGTGGCAAATGGAAGGAACTTCCATAGAGATGTAGGGCTCCTCTGATGAGTCATTGAGTCATCCTGTTAGAGGTGCTTGAACACACACCCATATAGCTATAAAAGTGGGGCAGAAACGATTGAAGATACTGTATTTTCACCCCAAGGTTCACACTGTATTTTATTGATAGTTAGAAGACTAATATTTTTAGAAAGGTGCAACAGAGCCTCTATCATTCCCTTTTTCTCTAAAGGGCATAGAGAAGAAAAACTCCCAACTTATTGACCCATGCTCCCAACTCCGAGGAGTTGTGGGTCACAGGGATTAGTGTCTATCCAAATGGGCTAAGCAGTGGTATGGCATTTGTGCAGACCCCAGGGACCTTTAAGCTATTTCATAGCCTCCACCATTCCAGATCTGAGGATGTATACACCCACATACACAGAGAAACACTCACACTGCTGACACTAGTCCCACTACCATGCAAGTAGATCTTCCCTAGCCCTGAAGGGAGTAGAAGACAAAGTGGAAGTTATTGCCCATTTCTAGTGAATTTTCCTTAGGAATAATTCAAAGTTTACTAGGGGAGCATGCCACAGAGGCTGCTTACTCTCTAGCTCTGCTCTCCTACCAGTGCTTGTGGGGACCTAAAAGCAAATTGGAGATTTCACAAGACTGGAGAAAAGCAATTTCCATTCCAGGTAGGTTCCATTTCCCTTCTCCAATTTCTGGAATTCGTGCATTTGCTTCTCTCCATTGAAGAGAAGCTTTTGACCCTGAGTGAGCACCTATCTCTAATGGAACAATCCTATAGAATGTAATAAGAGGTATAAAATAATCGTATTAACTGACAATTCTATTGTGTGTTGATTTAAGACTTCTACAGAAATACCTCATTCTGTATTATTAAATTCTATGTGTTTCAAGTGAGTTCTGTAGAACCCAGTTGATTTCATCCCTATTAAATCCTATACAAGTTCTGATCTAGTGTTTTGGTTTCAGCCAATCACAATCTGAAAACAAGCAGAATAGTAACATTTTGCTTTTCATAAATCTTATTTGTGGAACCAATTTTTTTCCTGGAAATAATCGCCAATAGCAGTTAGCAGTTCTATCTCTGGCCTCACTTTCTATTTTACATTCTCTCATACATAGGTGACCTTACGATAGTTTATTTATTGGGTTGTTGAATGTGTGTGTCAGTCTGTCACTTGCCTTTAGCTGTTTCATTGTCTGTTAGGTGAGTGGGTTACCAACTCCAGACCTGATGTGGCTTCTGAATGGCAAACCTGTATTACCAGATAGCACTCACAAGATGTTGGTCAGAGAGACCGGTGTTCACTCTTTGCTTATTGATCCTCTCACACAAAATGATGCTGGAACTTATACTTGCATTGCAACCAACAAAACAGGACAAAATTCATTTAGCCTGGAGCTCAGTGTTGTAGGTAAGACTTACTGAAAGGTTTTAATAAAAGACTATGTACAGTATCATACTGTAATTACTTGTATCTATTACTTTGTATGTATTGAGCTTGAGTCTCCTCTCACACCACTGTATGTCAAAAGTAACTCCATTGCAGTCAGTGGAGTTACACCAGTGTAAAACTGATGTAAGGAAGAGAATCAAATCCAGTGCTTCTTTTGTAGAGGTGTTCCAGTTGTTCCTTCAGGGCTGTGATGATTCTATACAGTATCTATGTGCAAACCCCTGCCTACTCATCCATAATCTTTTTCAGCCCCCTGCCTTCATACATTGCTGTTCTTGATCTCTTCCCCAGGAAAAAGACATAGCCTTAGGTTTTAAAAATACTGTATGGCCTCCCTATCATGTCACAGTTATAGTTTTATTAGTTTAAAAAAATATTTAAATGTAAAAATGCTGAATGCTACTCATTTTCTACTCATTTTATTAAATAAGCCTGATGAAACCTGAGCAGCCATGGTAAAAGTGCTGTTGAAATCCACATCTGCAGCACTCATTTCCTGCAATGGTAGCATGTTTGGACCCCATATATACATTCATCTATAGAAAAAAATCAGTTCTATGTATGATTTTCAGTACATTCCCTTAAGGATCTTGGATCTTAAACAATTTGATAATCTTTCATTAGAAAATAAAATCACAACCTGTTAAGGCAATATCTAAACTACCAATTTTTGTCGACAAAAGTGATGTCGACACCCAAAAATCGACATAATAAAAATCTAAATTTCATGTTCACACTTGCTCCCTCTGTCAGCAGATCGCATGCACATTGGGGGCTCCATCGTCGACAGTGTGAGCATTGCACTGTGGGTACCTATCCCACAGTCCAGCTCGACACCTTCTGTCACTAGGTGTTGTGGGAAGGTGGAGCGGATCGTGGCGCATCTTGGGACCAGGCTAAATGTCCTGTGATGCATTGCTTTGTGTCCCAGCACTCCACAGGCTTCCAGCTTTTTTGCGGCATTTTTGCAACGGTCATTCTCTGCTGTGCACCCCAGCATCTTTGTGAGAAGGGATGGATCCCGCACTGCTCTCCTATGCTCTGTTAACTGTCATGAAGACATTGCGGATGGCAGTGCAGTTAATTGTCAAGTTCCTAACTGAAGAAGACTCACAGGCACCCGACATTCTGCGTGACATGGATAGGAGCAACTCTAGATTGCTTTTGGCATTCACAGAGCAGCTGCATAGGGTAGACCAGGAAACAAGCACTGAATGGTGGGATCGTATCGTTATGCAGGTATGGTCTGAAGAGCAGTGGCTACAGAACTTTCAGATGCAGAAAGCCATCTTCCTGGAACTGTGTGTGGAGCTCACCCCAGACCTGTGGCGCAAGGACACGAGAATGAGAGCTGCCCTCTCGGTAGAGAAGCGTGTGGCAATCACTGTGTGGAAGCTGGCAACTCCAGACTGCTTCTATTCGGTCGCAAATCAATTTGGAGTGGGGAAGTCGACCGTTGGGGCTGTGTTAATGCAAGTGTGCAGGGCAATAAATCGTATCCTGCTACGAAGGACCGTGACTCTGGGAAATGTGCGTGAAATAGTGTACAGCTTTGCAGAAATGGGGTTCTCTAACTGTGGAGGGGCGATAGATGGCACAAATATTCCAATTTTGGAACCAGACCACCTTGTGACAGAGTACATCAATAGGAAGGGGTAATTCTCCATGGTGTTGCAGGCGCTTGTGGATCACCGTGGGCGTTTCACTGACATCAACGCAGGGTGGTCCGGAAAGGTGCATAACGCACGCATCTTCTTGAACACCGTCCTGTACAGAAAGCTACAAACGGGGACTTTCTTTCCAAACCAGAAGATTACAGTGGGGGATGTTGAAATGCCCATAGTGATCCTGGGAGACCCCGCGTACTCCTTCAGCCGTGGCTCATGAAACCTTACACAGGACACCTGGACAGCAGTAAGGAGCAGTTCAACAACAGGCTGAGTAGGTGCTGGATGACTGTTGAATGTGCCTTTGGCAGATTAAAGGCACGCTGGCGATGCCTTTATGGCAGGCTAGACTTTAATGAGGATAATATTCCCATGGTCATAGCCGCATGCTATACGTTGCATAATCTCTGTGAAGCTAAGGGTGAAAGGTTTGCTCATAGGTGGAGTGCTGAGGCAGACCACTTGGCCGCTGATTTTGAGCAGCCAGATACTGGGGCTGTCAGAGGAGCCTCGAGGGGGGCAATTAGAATCAGGGAGGCTTTGAGGCAGCACTTTGACAATGAGCACCAGTAATGTATATCTCTAACACCGTGTTAGTTTTCCTAGGAAGCAATTGTGTCATTTTGGGCCTTATATTCCTGTGAGATGATTACAATGCCTGTGCTTGTATTGGTAGTGCCTGCAATCTGAATTTGTAGAAAAAAAATAAAAGTGATTCACCATTAAAAAACTTTGCTTTTATTGAACAAGAAACAGCACACAGAAACACACAGATGCCTGCTGGGAAAGGAGGAACCAGGGAAGGACAGACTTTCACAACTGTGTGTAGGTCCAGCTATCATTGTGAAAGTTGTTCGAGGGGGTGGAGAGAAGGGGAAACCGAGAACTCCCGGAAAGTGGAAGGGAATGTGCGGGTGGAGTTGGGGGGCAGGGCATGGAAAAGTGTTCTGAATGTGCTGTAGGAGAAGGTGAGCATGGATCTGCTCAGTCTGCAGCGCTACTAAGGACTGCAGCATCTGCTTTTGCTCCTCCATTACTTTAATCATCCGCTCAGTAGCGTTCTTAACAAACTCCTAATTCTCTTTTCTGTCCTACTGTTCGGCTTCCCAGAACTCCTGGCGTTCCCTTTTCCTTGCATTGGAGCAATGCAGTACCTCCCGGAACATGTCTTCTTTTCTGCGTCTTGGGCGCTTTCTTATCTGGCGAAGACGCTCGGCGGAGGTGCGTGGGGTGTTCCTGAAGGCCACATCTGGTGAAGCACAGGGGACAATGCACAGAAGCGGGATTGTTAAATTCACGCACAGCATTGTAACATTTCTGTTATATACATCTTTTGCTACATTGCAATCACTTTCTCACTGACCCTAATCAGGCACACATCTCTGCGAACAGCCAAAGCATGGTGAGTGTTGGGGGGCCGGAGGGCGCTCCACATGGGGAAAAGAGCACACACTCTCTGCAAGGGTTGTGGTGCAACATTCTATGGAAAAAATTCTAAAATTCTCCTGCACTTTTCCACCGACGGGGATCATTCTAGCAGACATCTCACTGCTAAGGGTAAGCAGGGAAATGAGGATACATCTACTCAATGCTTGTGACTTCCGCCCTGCTCCCTATGCTGCTCGCCTGTCTGCCGCTTTGGTCCCTGCAGAAGTGATTGCCGAATGGTGTAGGAAAGTTTCCTACAATGGGGGAAGGAACAAAGCTGCTCTGCCACGGAACCTTCGGCAGAAGATTACCGAGTACCTCCAGGAAACTTCCCTGGAGATCTCAGTGGAGGATTCCCGTGAGATCTCAGCGTGCATCAACAAATTATTCTGCCGTGCCAATTAGCTACACAGGGAAATGTCCAGCTCACAGAAACGCAGCCAGCCTACCACATTTCTATACCCTGAACCCACCTCCGCACTATACAGGCCACAGCCCCTTACCAGGCATCTCATCTCCTGCTTCTTGCTCCCCGGAGAGTGACTGCTGAGACTGGCTAGACACCTCTGGAATGGGGAACAGTTCCTGGCTGCCTGCCCCACCAGGTGACCCTGGCGGGAGCTGCACATGCTCGTCTAACTCCACCTCTTCATCAATAACTTCGTCCTCCAGGTTAGGTCCTCTTTCCACCATCTCCATTCCCTCCAAAGTATCCATGGGGCTCTTTGCAATGGAGATGGGGTCGCCACTAAGGATAGCGTCCAGCTCCTTATAGAACCAACAAGTCTTAGGTGAAGCACCAGAGTGATGGTTTGCCTCCCTCACCTTATGGTACGCCTGCCTCAGCTCCTTTATTTTTGCTCTGCACTGTAGTGTATCCTGATCATAGCCTTTTTCGTATAAGCCTTGAGAAATGTGCCCGTAGGTATCCCAATTCCTATGGCTCAAGTGCAGCTGGGTCTGCACAGCCTCCTCTCCCCATATACAGATCAGAGCCAACAGTTCTGCAGTGGTCCAAGTGGGAAAGCGTTTGGTGCTATAACCCGCGAAGGTCACCTGGGAAGATGCGATGAGACCTCTCCACGCCGAGCCAGCAGGAAATGGAATTTCAAAAATTCCCGGGGCTTCTAAGGGGGAGGGGCAGATGGTTGTTTACCTGGCTGCAGGGCAGTGGAGTTCAAAACGCTGACCAGAGCGATCACGATGGGCATTGTGGGACACCTCCTGGTGGCCAATTAAAGCAATGAAATCAAGCGTGTTGTCTACTCTGGCACTTTGTTGAGAAACAGGTAGAGGAAAAAGACATAAATCTCTCGTTGGGGTGGATGTATTTAGTCACCAAAACCGGGCATCTTTCCCAACAAAAGTCACAGCGCAATGTGTACACACGTACTGTTTGGTCGATAAAAGGCAGTTTTTGAAGACAAAACTTGGTAGTATAGACAAGGCCTAAGATGTCATAGGAATCATTTTGGATTGTTTGTTTCCAAACGGTTCAGTGCAAAAGACTAAATAAAGACGTTGATGCACAGTAATTGTTCCTCCTCCTTTCCAGCAAAGGAAGTCAAAAAAGCCCCAGCATTCCTGGAGAAGTTACAGAATTGTGGCGTGCCTGAAGGGCACCCAGTCAGATTAGAAGGCAGAGTGATTGGAATGCCACCACCAATATTCTACTGGAAGAAAGACAATGAAACCATCCCTGCAAACAGAGAAAGGATGAGGTATTGTACAGTCATTCATACAGTTAATGTCACCTTGAGACTGGGCTGATTGTTGGCACAAAAGTTTTGTTGTCAGAGCAGGTTTTGTCCTCTCTCTAGATTAAATTTATTTCACCCACTTAAAGCCTAAGGAACTGGTCTTTAGTATGAAGGATAAGGGAATGAAATCCACTTCCCCAATTTGGGATCCGGGTGCAAAAGTGCAGCACAGCTCCCTACACCCCACAGCCACTACTCCAGCCAATAGACTAGTACAGTGGTGATAGTGTTTTTGGGCCACTTGCATAGTATGTTACTTATACTTTATCACCACAGATCCTATTGCCCCTTCCCATACTCACCACAACACAGTCCTCTGCTACATGGGGCCAGTCGTGAAACACGTATATGCCTTCCTGGCAATACATAATCCATCCCTGAAGGGTTTAAGAAGTACCTTGAACTGTGCCTTTGTACCAGGATGAATTTCATCCCCCTTGCCTCTCAGTTCTTCATCACCTCCATTGTGCCTGCTGCTCAGTGCATCCTACTAATATAGGCATCAGCACTTCACTGCCATAACCTTTCCAATTTAACAATATAATTTTGTATTTAAAGATGAGCTTCTCTTTTATATTTATGTCAGTTTAGCTTTTAAAACTAAACTTAAAAGAGATCAGCTGGCTGAGCTGTGAGTAAAGTGCTGCTGGGATCCATCATTGCAATGGTCATTTAATCTTTCAAATTGCCTTTTTACTTGTAGATTTGGGGGGAAATCATAAATGATACTGGACCTTTATTAAGAGGATTTTTAAAGCAATATCTCATTCTAGGATAAGAGGGAAATATTTGATTTACTTTTAAGAGTATAGGCAATTATTATACAAAATATGAAATTCACAAATGAGCTACAGCTCAGTTTACATAGTGGACTAAAATGTAATACAATACATTGTAGGCATAAATAATAAATAAGAAAGTCAAACTCATTATAATCACAAGTTAGAGGTGGAAAACCATATAGGTCCTGTCTTGTTGCTCACCCAGCTATCAACCTAGGAATGTACTGTACAGTATATTATAGCCACTGCCTTGTCCAGTCTAGTTTTAAATATCCCAAGAGCTGGGGCTTCCACCCCTTCCCTTAAGACACTAGTCCACAGCCTAACAGATCTCCCTTTCAGGAACTTTTTATTTATTTCACCCCATTACTTGCAGTTACATACACATTCTGCCCCTTTCCACTCTAAATAATGCCTCTTCATTCATGTTCCCCAAATGCTGGCTGGCTAGTATACAGCGGAGGACACCAGAATCTGCAATTAGAAGTGGAAGGATAGGAGGCAGAAGGTGGCCACCCAGATTTGATCTCTCCCAGAACTCAGAGAGGAGAGTTCTGTAGGTCCTGCCATAGAAGGGATTAGCAGAGCAGGATCTAGCAGTCAAGAAGTGTGGTTTCCGTGTTTGAGTGCACAAACTCCTTGCCTCCAAACTGGCATCTATCCACACTCCAACCCTTGGTGCAGATTTATTCCTGCTCTGGACAGGAATACTCCTTCCTTAATACAGAAACACACTACTAGTCTGCAGCATTAATGTGCTTCCATTTTTGCGGTCCAGGAATACTGTTCCAGAATTTGGCCTTTGGCATTAAACATCTTCCACATAGTCACAGCTAGTTCTGTCCCCATAGTTATTCCTAAGCATAATTAACTTTTAAATCCCTCCAGCCTTCTAACTGACATTGTGCCCTCTTTGGATTTCTTCCAAGTAGTTAGTATCTTTAATATTAAGATTCCTAGCAGAGATCTCATCAGCGCTGCAGATAGAATAATTATTTTCCTCTTCCTTAAAACGAAAACTCTGCAAACCACAATTGGACTTTTTTTTTTTGCCAATAAAATTCTAGAAACTTTAATTTCCCCAAGGTTTGAAGGGTGCAGACAAGTAGAGGTTCAATTTTATATTGTAGATTTTAAAATAATGTTCATTATTCATATAGTGACAAGCAAATTTGCATTAAGTATCTGATTAATTTTTTTAAAGTGAGCATAAAAGTGGCTGTGTCAGACATTAAATCCACCATCAGATAAACTCAGCATCAGCAAATAGGCTTGTGCTTGTAACAAATGCTGGTTTTGAAGCCTTGTATTTTTTTTTGGTGGGCAATAGCAGCTAATTTTCTCTCAGACAAGATAATTTTTTCGTGCATTCACTTTCTAGTACAGATGAGCCCAATACCAGAATATTCAGATCATGATTTTTAATACCCTGAAGTTCAGATCCAGAGTTCTAGTTTAGCACATGAAAGATAGGAACTGACTGCAAAATTTGGGCTCAAGCCCAGGTACAGATTTCAGACCACATTTCTAAAACTCAGAAGTGTTTGGAATCCAGCATTTTGGCTCAAATACATCACTGCATTCTAGCTGAATAAAGAAAATTTGCTATAAAATATTTCCTTGACTTTGTTTAGCTTAGAAATTAATTATATTTTATGATTTCTTTGCCAGGATTCCTACTCCTATGTAAATCTGTTGGTCAATGTAATGTTTGAATTAGATTCACAGTCTATTAGTTCAACATGGAGTCATTGGCTCCCTGCCGGCTATTCTGCTAAATGGTTAAAAACAGGATGGAGCTCTGTCCTGGCTTGCCTCATTTTTAATTAATTTGGGTGAAATTTCCAACATCCACAGGAAGTCTGAGTATTTGTCCAATCTGTGGGACTACTCTATGAGGCCTGCCCTACACAGCTGCTATTTCAGCCTATCATAAATCCAACCCCAGCCCTTCAGTGCCACCTGTGCAGTGTTAAGATGCCTGGATCCACATGAACATAAAATGTCAGTCCTTCTCCCTGGCTCATCCCTCTCTTGGCAGCAAGCTTATCTTCTATGCTGGCCTGCATGAGGCCAGGAGACCCTTTCTGCAGTGGGAAGAGGGTATGCATGTAACCTGCTACACAGATGCTGTGTCCCTTGTACGTCAGTATAGCCCATATGGGTGAGTTAAGTGGGCTAATTGAACAACAGTGAATGTTACCCTTTAGGAATACTGTTCCTACAGGAGCTGGCCAGAAAATGGAATTTCCATCACCTGGGAAATTCAGAATGTTTGAGATTTTGTTTCATTCTGAATCAGAACAAAACTGTGAATCTCAGACTTTCCTGAGAAAGTGAATATTCCCATTTGGGACTATATCATTGCTGCCTATCCTTGCTTTTCCTGTCTGCTGTTGCTGGGGGAAGGGAAACTCCAGGGCTGATAATAGGAGAGGATGGGAGGGAGAGGAGGGAAACCTCCAGGGTGATGAGAGGAGAGTAGCCCAGAGAGCAAACTCATCCCAGTCCATGACATCCTGCCTTGTGAGCTGCTGAGAACCTGGGGAGGTGGGCAAGCTTGCAGGAAACCAGGCAGGTTTCCACTGGGATTTTGCTGAAATCAATAATTCCCCTGGAACATTTCAAATTTACTGAATCTGCATTTTCCAACAGAAAAACATTTTACAGCAAAATTTCCAACCAGCTCTAATTACTACCTTTATGAATGTTTTCCTCCAGGATTAATATTACAATTTTACTGCCATTTCATATATTGCATCTCCAGTTTCTGCATTAGAAAAATAAATACTTTACAACTGTTTTAAATGGGTTTGCACAGGTATAACTAACTGGAACTTACTAACAATTCTATAGCTGATGCATAATAAAGTATAAAATCCAGCTTACTCTCTCTCTCTTAGGGCTTGTCTACACTATCCGCTGGATCAGCGGGCAGCGATCGATCCAGCGGGGGTTGATTTGTCACGTCTAGTATAGACGCGATAAATTGACTGCTGAGCGCTCTCCCATCGACTCCGGTACTCCACCAGAACGAGAAGCGCAAGCGGAGTCGACGGAAGAGCGTCAGCTGTCGACTTATTGCAGTGAAGACACCGCAGTAAGTAGATCTAAGTACATCAACTTCAGCTACGCTATTCATATAGCAGAAGTTACGTATTTTAGATCAACCTCGAGCGGTAGTGTAGACAAGCCCACAGTTGTGATGACTCTGCAGGGCTGAGAGGAGTAAACACATATTTGAATCACTAGAATGAACAGATCAGACTCCAAGAACATGCAAGGAGCAGATGTGTTGAGTATGAAGTTGCTGCTTTTATACAGGCCTTCAGAGTAAAGCAGCACTCTAAGTCTATGATTTAGTATGTATTTAATCTATGTGATGTTAAACCCAGACAGCAGATGGACACTTGAGAAATACTAATTCTGTACACTTATTTTTCCAGCATGCATCAAGACACAACAGGATACGTATGCCTTTTGATTCAACCTGCCAAGAAAGTAGATGCTGGTTGGTACACTCTGTCCGCGAAAAATGAAGCTGGTATTGTTTCATGCACTGCTAGACTTGATATATATGGTAGGTGTCCTATTATTGACTACTAAGTAAAACAAAGCAAAAAACATATGTGGTTCGGTTCTTATTATACCCTTTGCAGTTCTTGCTGAAATCTTTTCATTGACATTGATGGAAATTGAATAGACCCATTATTAGTATAGGGTCACAGTATGTTCGCAACCTAATATAGCCACAAAGAGGAGTAAGAACCACACACGCCCTGCATGGCCATATTAGCACTTTTGTATCACAACTTGGATGCAGGTGAGAGGTAGAGCAGGAGCTGTGCACCGGACTCTGGAGATCTGGGTTCACTTCCCAGCACTACTGCAGCCTGGGTGACTTGGGCAAATCACTTAAACAATCTGTTCCTCAGTTTCCCATCTGTAAAATGGGAATAATACTTCCTCTGTCCTGTTTATTTTGACTATAAAAATCTTTGGAGCAGAGACTTGTCTTGCTATGTTTTTGTACAGTGCCTAGTTACAGTGGCCCCTAATTTCTCGTAGGGCTTCTAGGCACTACCATAATACAAATAAATAATAATAAACAGTTCCTCCTGAGGAAGCAAAGCTATGCATCGCCTCTTACACCAGGATAAGCAGACAGGGGTGAGCAAACTTTTTGGCCTGAGGGCCACATCTGGGTATGGAAATTGTATGGCAGGCCATGAATGCCTGATGGCAGAGGGGGACTCTATGAGGTATAGCATGGGGGCAGGAGGGCTCTATAAAGGATGTTACTGAGGTGGGGGGAGGTGGGACTCATGGGGTGTGGCATGGGGGGGACTCTACAGGGGCGGTACCGGGGATTACTAGGGGACGGCCGGCAGTGACACCAAGGCGGCCGTACCAGGCACTGCCATGGGCGGAGGCACCCTAGCTGGGACAGGTGCGGCCCCTGGGCAGTTTCAAGGCTCTCGAGGATGGGGCCGTAGGAGACCAGGAGGGGATTGGGTGCGCTGCCATGTTAATGGGGCTGCCGTGTAGGGACAGGGTTTCGATCCCAGAAACAGCGCAGTGAAGTCACATCTGTGCAGTGTGGCTCTGCGCATGCCGAAGATAGTGGAATTATGAGTCGGGGGCTGGAGAGCACCAGGCGGGAGGAGCGGGGCAAGCCCCTGGCCCCGTTCCATGGACAGAGCTTGAGGGCTGGATAAAAACATCCAATGTGCCGGAAGCGGCCCGCGGGCCGTAGTTTGCCCACCCCGGGCGTACCCTAATAAACCATTTTTTGTTCTTCAGCTAATTCTTTTATAGTGTAATTTCATAACACATAGCAAGGCAAATGTGACATTTGTATATGAAACATAAAGATCTCATTGCATCTCAATTAATGACCTGATATACATGCCATTTAATAAACAATGTTACATGCAATTTACTAAATAACTTCACAAGAAAACTTTTTTCGTCAGTTTTTATTGCAAGATATGCAGTAAACAATACAGAGATAAAAAAAAACCAGTCGGATACACTCCGTTTCCACTGACTTCATTTGGGGACAGGATCAGCACAAATATAAGCAATTACCTGCATAAACATTAGAGGCTTCTAAGATCTACATTTATGGAGAGACATTTCACATGGAAACAGGTTTTGGAACCATAAGGTTACTTTCTGCATATATAATTAAATGAAATCATTGAGTCAAGCAGCAATGTTCATTCTTTCTTGAGCATGGCCCTTTTCTCCATTGTCTAGATCTCTCAGATTTTATTAGTCAATTTTCCATTTAGGCAAGTGAGAATTATGCAGTTCTGTGGCTAGAACAATTTGAGAAGCCAAAGGAAGGAATTGAATAAATTGGTGTATTTTTCTATCAGAGTTGCAGTCCGTATTAAAAAAGTGTCTGTCTTGGCTTTATGAAAATGTCCAGTAGAAGATGGCAGGGATGCAACCACTAGAACTCCATAACAAGTACTCTAAAAACTGATTAGGCCACTGAACAACTTTGGCAATAAAATCAATCTGGCCTCTGTTGAAGCCAGTGACTTAATGCTAAAAGGCTCCTTTATTCTTTACCAGTCCAGCACCCTGCTCTTTTCCTCCATGTCTTTATGTTATAAATTCAATTTGTCTAGTTAGAAAAAAAAATCTTGAATGTAAGATTAGGTCCAAATTCTGGTCTTTCAGGAATTTGTTCTGTTCACTAATAGTCTTTTCTACAAGTAGGTATCTGAGCATTTCCTTTGATTTATCAACCACTTTGTATGCTTCCACAAGAGCATGTAGAGCCACCATGCACAGTTCATCTGGCGTAGAACACTCTGTCTGAAACTATATTTAGCAGCTATGAACCCCTAGATGAAAGTGAATGCCTATTGTAATAACAGCATAGCCATTATCTGTAGCTGGTAAGGTATTAAAAAACGTTTATCCTGAATGCCTAAGCTGTGTAATAAGATAGCTCACATACACTTCGTAGACCATTTCTCTGCAGCATTAGCCAGAAGCTGAGAATTTTCAATCCTTTTAATCTACATTTTAAAAGGAATTACTAGACTACTGTACCTGGAAAAAAAGAAAACAGGCAGGCTGCCAGTGCCAAGGAATTAGTCCACATGCTTGTCAGTTTCTGCCACTCAGTGGCCTTATGGAGAATTGCATTTTATACTTTATTAATGCTTGATGATAGGACATAGGGAGCCAGAGAGAGATTGGAATATTTAAAAAAGATTTAGATATATTTATTTAAGCTTCCCATATTTTGAAGGAAATATAAATAGCAGACACCTAAAGAGTTCAAACCATAATAGAAAGGAATTGTTTAGGTGGTCCAATTAAGAGAAATGACATAAGAAAATTTGGACTGAGTATCCGAAAACATTTTCTAAGAGACTCTGTGGAAAATCTGCCAAGGGAAGTGACTAAAAGCCTCATCATTTGTGCCATTTAGAGCTAAGCTAGAACAAACCAAGAAGGGAACAGTCCTGCAGTGTCAAGTGGGTCTGGTAGTTAATAGTCTTCAATGTCTCCAATTCAGTGAACCCCAAATTTTAAAGAAAAAAATATGTATAATCAACACAAAGGGTATCATCAGGGAGGGAACCTGTTTGAGACTGGGAGAAAGAAAAGGCTGTTTATCCAAAACAGTCTGAATCTTAAAGAAGGCTAAAGTTCAGTGCAGAAAAGGGATAAAGGATTCTACTCTTGTGTAACAGTTAGTTCCTTATTTACACATAGTGCTGCTCATCCAGCTACTACAATGCTGCAGCCTAAATATTTACTGTGTTCCTATCTATCCCAGAAATCACCCATTCTACAACTCTGCCCCAATTTCCTGTAAATCTATTGATTTTACTATTCTTTTATTTATTTACAAAAACTCTCTTACAGTGGACCCAAGCATCTCTCCCGTGATTAGCTGCTTTGTTTTTCTAATAGATCAGTGTTGATTACATCTGCCAATTGTCTGTTGTTATACCCTAAAAATCCCTATGATGTTTGAATATGAAATGATTGATTATGAAGTCTTTAGAAATTGCATTTTGTCAGCTATGGAATCAACTACATGTCAACATTTAAGAAGATGGATCTACTTTTTAAAGGACACTTTTTCCAAATGGGTTTCAAATCTGCACACCAACTCCTGAATTTGTGCATCCAACTAGCACAAAGATACACAAATGATTTCTGGTAGAAATAGGTTTGTCACATTTGTGTGCAAAATTGGAGGTTTTGTGCACAATAGTAGAGTCTTATTAAGGTGTTGAAAGAGGCTGTGTAAAGTGGTTTGAGATCTACATTGTTATAGAACAGCTAGGTATTATTAGTATTATTAACTTCAAAAAAGTTCAATGTTACTTTTAAATGTGTAAGTACAAGCTGAATGTGCATTTTAATATCACTGAATCTAATTAACTGTTAGCAACTAGATTCATAATTATGTAAAGCAATATATTGCCTTTTATTTTGCTTAATAACTTGATTAACAAATTGATAATTTGTTCATAATCAGTCACCTAAAGTAGCTGCAATGAAAATTAGAGATGGACCAAAGTCAGAACTATTTATCTTACAAAAAAGAAATACAAATCCTTCCCCGGATTTTGGGGGGAGGAACTGGGAGGGAAAACACTGCTGAGGGAGATTTCTGGTTTTATTGATGTCTATTTGCTGATCCACAAACTTACTCTTGACTGTAGTCCTTACAACCATGAGTAGGCTCAGTGGGTGAAATCCTGGTCCTATTGTAGTCAATGGTAATTTTGCTATTGAATTCAGTAGAGCCAGGATTTCACCCATTGGCTCCAATAGGACACTGCATCATTGTAAAGCACTGTACTTGAGGATATCTGAAGGAACAGACCCTACATTAGTAACAGATTTTTTTTTTTTAAAAGGACTTGAGAGGGGTTCCCATTTAGAAACATGGAAAGCAACACTTTCCAAACGGGTGTGAAAATTTCCATTGGCTTTTTATATATATGTTAAAATAAATGTGGACTTGACTTGGAATTATGTTTTCTCTTCATTATTTTTGTTTCTTCAGCCCAATGGCACCAACAGATTCCACTACCAATAAAGTTTCGACCTAGTGGTGGCCGGTATGCAAACCTCACTGGTCAAGGACTCGACATTTTTTCTGCCTTTTCAGCTGTTGAAAGTCCAAAGTTGTTTTCATCCTCATCCCAGAGCGTGGTGGAAAGTGAAGAACTTTAAAAACCTACAGTTCCAATTATACCTGCAGAAATATTAGAACTATGGGGGGGGGAAAGAGAAAAGGTACAAACCAAGAGACTCAAGGTTTACAAGCAACTTGCTTTTAGAAAGTGTTCTGCTGCTGGAACTGCTGCAAGTTACATATTGTACAAGATGTCTGCCTTGTATTTTACTCCAGTATGATTATGGTATAGAGTGTAGCGCAAAAAGTTCAGTACTATGTCTTTTTCTGAGAATCTCAGAGTGAAGAGACATAGTTTTAGCACTTAAAAATCAACACCACTTTTTAATGCTTCAGTTAAAGCTCCTGTAACAAGCAAAGTTAAGGATTTGTGGTGTTTAACTGGATACTGCCAATGAAAGGACTGACACTGTGATAGAGAGTAAAGAATGTGACTTTGAATGTAATCCTAAAAGGATTTGCATAAGGAAAAGAAAAGAAGTTGGAACATAATTTTTGTATGTGATCATAGTAGATAAGACTATACAAACATAGCATTTCATGGAGGTACAGCTATATACAGTATATATTTATATTTGTGTGCGTGTGTGTGTGTGTGTGTGTATGTACAAACCATGCCGTGTGAATTCATGGTGTTTTGAAACATACAGTAAAATATAAGGCATGTGCTTAGGACATTAACACATGAAACTAAACATCCTATATTGTATGAAGCACATACTGTAGAGATCACAGCTGAAACTACTGTATATTTCCATGTATGCTTCATATTTGTTCCTTTTCAGTTTTAGTGACTCCCTGGTTTTAAACACAGAGTACTGTTCTTGTAACTTCATGGTTTTTAAATTCAAGTCTCTTTCCACATGAGTTTTTGACATGCCTAGACAAAAAAAAGCACATCATATGGCTCATTTGCTAAACTGACTAAAGAGGAACTGTGGCCTGGTGCAATTAAAACTTCTTTCGGGATCATTTAGGAAACTTAATCACAGGTAGAGTTCCTACTATTAAAACAGGGGGAAATGCATCTGTAACGTGCAAAGAAGGTTATAATATTTAAGAAACACAGTGGTTAGTATAAACAACTAAAGTAAGTATTGTACCCTGATAAATAGTAGGTAAACCAGGGAATGCTATAGGGGGCTATAACGAAGGATGTTTAATAACATTACTAAACAAACACTTTCAGTATATTTCTCTTTTACATAATTTTATTGACAACCTTCTGACCCCAATGGTTAGAGGTTAGGAATGTATATGATGATTTCCTGCACATGATTTGGACTTTATTTTCAGCAGTTCTAACTCACTACTTTAAACTTGATCAGGGACAGCCATGGGGTCCTAACTAGAATCATACAGGGGCTTAAATATCACATTTACAGATGCTGTAATTTTAGGTCTTATTTGGCTTGCTTTGCAATTCAGTGCTTTTTCACAGTTTAAATTTTCAGAGAAAGAAAGAAAGATTAAAGCAAGGAGAAACTACACTTTAAAAAAAATTAATTACCATTGAAAATAAAGTGTGCCTACATTAGAAGTGTACATGCACTAAATATGAAAATATAAAGGCATAAGAGTTAATGGCGCACTGGGTATATTAAGACACTGGGAAGGAGATACACAGTGTTTCACTGTTAGTAACACATAGGTTAGTTTTGAAAGTGACCTATCTGAGATCAAGTGAATATGTGGTGATGCTGTATTTCCTAGTAATGTTTCTAAAAAGAAAATAATTGGATTTTGTAATTTAAATTAATGCGGTTTATGGGTTTCTTTTTTAAGAAGGGCCAAATTCTGCGCCCATCTACAACTCTGAAACCTCCCACTATTTCAGCGGTGTAAATAAAAAGCAGATTTTGATCCAACATAATAAAATTCTACAGCAATTGTAGCACTTTATATACATAGAAATAATCAAGCTATAGTGCACTGCCAGAAACTTTACTGAATATTTTTAGGCTTGACAGAATTTGATCTTTTTTTTTTTTATGATTTCAATGGATGACAATGTATACTTAAGCATTTAAAAAAATTGTATTCATTTAAATTTCCACAGTTGCACAAAATTATGAGTTTTAAGCATTTATATCAATGTAAATGTTCACAGTTGCAGAAAATTGGGGTGAGGGGGCTCGGACAATAATTGCTTAATGACAGTACACGTTAAGATTCAAAAAGTTAAAGCTTTTGAAACACAAACTGTCAACATATACAAAGTATCTCAAGCAGCATTTTTTTTTTAAACTTTGCCTTATGTAAACTTCAATTATCAATGGAAATATTTTTTTGCCAGTCTGTGTATGGTGAAATCAATATCTATTGATAAAAATCTAACCCTTTCAAGCCTAAATATATAGACTAAGTTATTAAATAATATAAACTAAGAAACTAAATCTGCACAAACTTTTCAGGTTTAGAAGAAATGAATGAATCCTCCTTTAGTAGGTAGTAGGTCCAAGAGCAATCATGTTACCTGCATTCTATGCATAGTCTGAAAGACAAGAAAAGCAGTATGTTAAACTTGTTAGTACATATAAATATCATACCATAAGGATATTTTATTATAGGTGCTAATATTATACTTACTAGTATTACTGACAGCAGTAAATGTTCTCACAGCTTTACAAATTCAGAGAAAGATGTGATCCCCACCCCAAAGAACTTACAATGTAAATTAAAACACAAAGAACACAGACCAAACATGTGGCCTGAATCTCTTCTCCCTTATGCCAGTTTTACACCAGTGTAATTTCATTGACTTCACTGTAATCTCTCTTGATTTACATCACCACAAGTGAAAGGTGATTCACACCCATGACTAGGGTGACCAGACAGCAAGTGTGAAAAATCGGGACAGGGGTGGGGGGTAATAGGAGCCTATATAAGAAAAAGCCCCAAAAATCCGGACTATCCCTATAAAATCGGGACATTGGTCACCCTACCCATGACAGGTAGGCTGAAGGTCAAGTAGTGCAATGTTTTCCAAAACATAGCCTCTGTTCTTTTGTAGTGGGGAAGAGAGGCAGGTATTATTGAAAGACTTGCTGGAAGAAGTATTGTAAAGGAGGGAGATGAACGAAGGGTTGATCCTTGGTCGTTCAAGAAGAGGTTCCTAATACCTCCATTGTGAGAGGTTAAGCCGAACTGGGTCCCCAAAATCTGGCAGGCGAATACTGGCAGCTGACAACCCTGTCTTCCACTGTTATTTACTAACTAAGGGTCATGATCTCATTCACACCAGCATACATTGAACACTGAAGTCAATGGAGATACTTCAATGTACATGAAATAAAGGAGATCAGAATCTGATCCTAAACTTGCAGAAGTCTCTGTAGATCAAATTATGGTGCCCATAATCCAAAAAATTTCCTATTAATTTAAATGGGAATTTTGCTACATGAAAGACAACAAAATTTTGTCGAGTATAAGTAACTTGTATCAAAAAAGATATTGAGAGCTTTACCAAATAGATTAATTCTTGTTAAGAAACAAGAAATTAATTTCCAGTATTGTTAATAACTACAGAATCCTTCTGTTCTGCATACACTGAGCCCAATATGGGAATATAAAAAGGAAGTTTAGGTGCATATATATTAATGCTAATAGATCTGACTCTGCTCATCATAATGAAACCTTTGTAGAGAAAGGCATAAGACATCGTGTGTATTGGTGACTATTGAAAAAGATGAGGAAAAACTGTAAGTAGATTTATGTATGCAGCAGAGGGCAACAGTGAATTATCACATAACTTGTGTGATGTCCATTGGAGAAGTTAATATTATGTGAAGAATGGCTCTATGTAATGATATGGTGTCAAGAAGCATTAGAGATTCTGTGATTGTGCTTTCTTCCTCAACAGCTTGCTTAGCGTTTCATTGTTTTGTTTTATTTTATTTAATGAACAGTAACTAATTTGACCTTGCACAAAAAAGGCATCCTGTTGTCTTATTCAGTAGAGGCCATAACAAAAAATCCATGCCAGAATCCATGAAGTCAGTAAGTTATCATCTAAATGTCCATCATCTAAGTAGAATTTTGCACCAATTAAATGTAGTGACTCTAAAATTATATATGTTAAATAATTTAATATTTCCAAATTCACATATCTGTAGCTTTATTTGCCTTCTGGTTCCTTTTCAGCCTTATAGTTTCACACATGTTAACACACAGGCTCAGGGTATTTCAGAGAGTAGTTCAAGTGGCAGTATTTTTGTTCAAAATTCTAGAAAGCACAAGTATTGCATCTTTGCTTTGAAAATAGTAAATATGTAAAACCTGTAGATCCAATTCACAGCAGCCTTGCTCAGGCTAAGGAGAACTGGACTGGGCCTTCTTGTCTCTGAAAGCAAGGACTGAAGACAGTTTTTGAATGCCTGATGTGGGCAAGTGTGGAGGGCAAAATAGGACACATACTTCGGAAAATGTGAGCCAACATGTGCAGTCGTTTCCTGAATATGTAAATAGTTGCTACTTGCAACTGTTAATAGTAATAGAAATACTGCAAAAAAGAACTCAATTCTGCTGTTAATGCCAGAAGCATTACAATAGTCTCTGAAAAGTGACCTCTGATACCCACTAAAAATGGTACCTGAGCAAATATACAAAAGAAAAGCTAATGAAATACTTTAATCTGTTAAATTAAATACTGAACAAGTGATTCGTTGTTAATTGCCTTATTAATTCCAATAGGAAAATGTTCACTTTGAGCTTTAAAATATTTTACTTTTTTTCTTGATTTAAATGGATTTTTTATTTTTATTATTATTATTATTTTGGTCTAATGATTCAAAGTCATCCTCAATAGGAAGAGTTAACATAGAGGTTTCAAAATAGATTTTAAATGCACATAAAAAAAAAAAAAGCCCGACTGTTCAATAATGCATTGTCCCTCACCCCATTTAAATAAATGCTTCAGAGTTGCATATCAAAGTGTGTCTCTTTGACATGTTTTCAGAGAAATTAATAGTTGGAAAAAGTGTGTAACAGGACCACAAGTCTCCTCCGGGCTAGTTTTTGAGAGCCGATGATGTCAGTGGAGGCTCTACGCACAGAATAACTGTAGGACTAGGCCCTAAATCATTTGG